TCTTCGGCGTGACGAGCGAACGCTTTAACCACTAGTCTACCCGACCGCCCCCCTAAACGATGAAGTCGATGATATGGAGACGAACTGTTGCCACAACTTTCAGATTGTTGGCTATCACGTGGTAGAACGGTCGTCATAGTTTTCTTAAATACATTAACAAAAATAAAGTAAACAGGTAAGATAAAACTATATTAATGCAATCGTCCTCAGGGCGGGGCAATATTTCTTGTGTGATCTAAACCGATTCAGTATACTGATATGGCTCGGATCTTAATTGTGTGGATTGATGCTGATGGTGTCGATTATGAGGTTTAAAACCCGAATCCAAAGGAGAGGTTTTATTGCGAGGATGAAGGTTTTAAATCTCACAAACACCCGATTGTAAGTGTTTCATCTGACTTATAAAGCGAAAGATGAAACTTAAAACAACATTTATCAACAATTTTATGTTTCTAACATACTTTCCAGGAACCTTAGGAAACGGACGTAAAATATATGTTGCTGTCGTACGGGTGCTTGATAAAGCATTTTTAAAAGCATTGGTTTATCAGCGCGTCTGTAGTCAAGTGGCACACTCACTGGGCAAGTGATATGAAGGTGGCTTGTTCGATCCGCGTGAATATAAAACACATTTATCGTTTGATTGTACATTTCGTTACATTGTGTTCATATGCAAAATACATTTCTACCGAGAGACATTCATATTCTCCTTGAAACACACCAAACTCTAATAATCATCTAAAACAACACAACACAAATGTACACTAGACGGGTGTGCGGTACACGGCGGTTTATTTACGAAACGCAACACACAACACACAGTGACATTACGTCACTCCATAGACCATTATTACATATGATACAACATATCGAAACATACAGATGGTAACGGTGGCTGAAGCCCGACACGTAAAACCAGAGATAAAAACTTTTGTGAATACAAAAAGCTCTGGAGCCGTGTTCTCCCTACGAATGCAACAGCACCAGTAACTGGGGAGTATACAGTATTTGAATCACCGTTTACACACGTCATACATGCTTTTACAAATACAGATTATACACAAAATCCTAGTTTTACTCATCTAACATGGAGCACACACACCCAATACAGCAGTATTATAATGGTTCTGCCAACCGAACATTTCCAAGACCAAGTATTCTAATGGCTTTGCAGCCTGCCGTACATTGTGTAGCCAATGAAATGCAACCATATATACAAAGTATTCTGAAGGCTCTGCAGCCACAACACACATGTGATAGTAAACACAATTATACCAGTGAGTACAGTTAACTACGGTTATAACGAACACGCTTATAACGAACTGACCGATATAACGAACTTACTTGTTAGCCCCGGCCATGTGTTGCATATATGCTGTATATATGCTTATAACGAACTACGGTTATTGCGAACTAAAACGGGTGGTCCCTTTGAGTTCGTTATAACCGTACTTTACTGTATTATAACAGCTCTCAAATATCATCAACATACATGGCCTGTCGACAGAGACAGATGGCCATAACAGAATGTGGCCTCACAGCCATACGCCCACGTCTAAACGAAAAGCCTGAAACACATGAAAAAGAAAGAAGCAAACATCATAAATGTACATGTTGTTAATTGAACTGCCGTGAGAGCAAGCGAGAGAGGCGACAACATAAAGCCCCACCCTTATATACCCCAAATATCAGCGCCATCTACTGGCATAATTACCTCCCTTTATTATAGAACGTACCACTAGGAGAAAGTAGTTTCCCTCTAATTCAATACTTCAAACGAGGGAAACATCATTATATACAGTAAACTACGGTTATAACGAACACGCTTATAACGAACTGACCGATATAACGAACTTACTTGTTAGCCCCTGCCATGTGTTGCATATATGCTGTATATCTGTTTATAACGAACTACGGTTATTACGAACTAAAATGGTTGGTCCCTTTGAGTTCGTTATAACCGTAGTTTACTGTAAACGGAAGTTGTATTAATATTAACATAACAGGATGTGTGAGGATGCAGGTTCGATTCACGTCATGAAATTTACATGTTAAACAATTGTGACATTTTACCAATCATCAAACACAATTGTGTTCACATCAAGGGGCAACTTTATAAAACGTTAATTGTAAAATCTAGGTGTTACAATTGAAATGTATTCAACAGGTCCCGGGCATGGTTGATATTGCCTGCCTTGGAAGTTAACCAATTTTTTAAAGCATCTTCTGTTACTGTAGAGTGACGTCATCAGAGGTTTATAAGTCGATCTATCAACTGTCTATCATGTCTGTCTATCCAGACATGGACATCACCCTTAAAGCCTAGATCTCACTCAATCAGGCTCACTCTTTACAGAACAAGTGACGCAAATGTCATCAGATAGTTCCGCGTGCGTCTTTTTCAACAAAAAAAGAAAGAAAACACGTATTTCGTGAAAACAAATGATGAAATAGTTCACAGTGCGCTTGTATAACTGTTTTAAGGTCCGCTTCAAATTAAAATATGACAACAAACTTATTTAGATATTTTTCAGATAAATAATCAGCAATTATTTTCAACGCCTTCTGTTATCACTATCAAAGCATGGGATAAATCCAGGACATATTCACGAGTACATCAACATGTAGATGTACTACTCCGTTAACCAACTCGTTAAAAGATGGTGCTTGTTGTTACCCTGTCTGGCGCTCGGCATTAAGTGGCTAAAACAAGGACTGGTCGGCTCGGAGTCAGTATACTGTGTCTGAGTGGGGTATTCATGTTAAACTGCGGCATGGTATCTCAGTGAGCTAGCACTATAAATCGGCATCAGTCCGGACTAGTACAAGCGGCCACACAAACACACACAGGTACATGCACGTCGCTATATGAGTGCAATAATCTTGGACGCGACGTTAAACCCAATTTCACCTCAACGTTAACCAACTGGCATTAAAAAATAACTGAAAACAACCCACGTTGAAGGACGCCACCCCTAGGGACTCCGGGGTAGAATATGTCCCCAGTGTATTATGCTTGCCCTGAGAGCCGACTGATGACTTTGGGGTTGTGTGGCCTGGCAGTTCTCTGTCATGGTGAATCGTGTTGGGTGCGCAGTCAGCCGCTGGTATTTTCAGAACGCCAATATGTAGCTGAAAAATTGCTGACTGGCATAAAATAAATTTAACCCTTTAAAGGACAAATCGGAACAAGATACGTCAATGACAGAAATATATCCAGTGTGGCGGTAAGGATTAATTGTGTAACGAAAAGTTTTTATTGTGTAACGGAAACTTATTTTTGTGTAACGAAAAGTATTTATCAAACGGGGATGATCTACTGTGTAATGAGAACATCATATTGTATAATGAACAAGGTGAGGTGGGTAGAGGTGAGGTGAGGTGAAATTAGGTTTGACGTCGCGTCCAGGATTATATAGTCCACTTATATAGCGACGTGCATGCACGTGTGTGTAAGGTTGCTTGTACTAGTCCGGACTGATGCCGATTTATAGTGCAAGCCCACTGGGATACAATGCCGCAGTTTAACATCAATATCCCACTCCGAGCCTTCCAGTCCTAGTTTTAGCCCCTTAATGCCGAGCGCCAGACAGGGTAACAACAAGTACCATCTTTTAACGTCTTTTGGTATGACGCGGGGACACGGGTGGCCCAGTCGTCTAAGGCGCCGCGATTCGCTGTGCAGAGTTGCGTCCCTTGGGCACGCCAGAAACCTATGACTGTGGGTTCGAATCCCGGTTCGCCCCGATTATGTTTCTAGGTTTGTCAGAAGCATACCCGTGCTCGTGGGTTTCACAGAAGTGGTAAGCGTCTGAGACCTGCATCACTTCGGGCTTTCCTCCCACATAAAGCTGAAACGCCGTGATACAACTGGAATATTGTTAAAAGCGGCGTGTAAACCCAACTCACTCACTCACTCACTCACTCACTCACTCACTCACTCACTCACTTTGGTATATCCTTGGTTTATCCTTTATATAGAACAAAACTTACTCTTACAAGGACAACTTCCTGTATACGGGGAGGAATTTGTGTGAAATTTGTTTTTTTACTGTTTAACGAGAAGGATTTACTCTGTAACGGAGAGGATTTACTCTGTAATGGGAAGGATGTACTCTGTAACAGTGAGGATTTACTCTGTAATTGGAAGGATTTACTCTGTAACAATAAGGATTTACTCTGTAATGGGAAGGATGTACTCTGTAACAGTGAGGATTTACTCTGTAATGGGAAGGATGTACTCTGTAACAATAAGGATTTACTCTGTAATGGGAAGGATGTACTCTGTAACAGTGAGGATTTACTCTGTAATGGGAAGGATTTACTCTGTAACAGTGAGGATTTACTCTGTAATGGGAAGGATTTACTCTGTAATGCGGAGGATTTACTCTGTAACAGAGAGGATTTACTCTGTAATGGGAAGGATTTACTCTGTAAAGGAGAAGATTTACTCTGTAACTAGAAAGATATACTTTGTAATGCGGAGGATTTACTTTGTAACGGGGAGGATTTGGCAACATTGGTACACGTGGGTTAATGATACCCGATGGTGTGTTATGACAGCAGTTGGCATGTGAGTGAGTGAGTTGGGCTTAACGCCGCTTTGAAAAGTATTTCAGTTGTAACACGGAGTGACAGCTTAATGTTGGAGGAAAGCCCGAAGTGAAACTGCTCTTAAATGTTACCGTGTGTGTGTGTGTGTTAGTGTTAGTGTTAGTGTTAGTGTGTGTGTGTGTGTGTGTGTGTGTGTGTGTGTGTGTGTGTGTGTGTGTGTGTGTGTGTGTGTCTGTGTGTCTGTGTGTGTCTCTGTGTGTCTGTGTGTGTGTGCGTGTGTGTTACTATATGGTGTGTGTGGGGTAGTGCAATGGTTGTCTCCCTTCACCATGTGTAGGCTTCACCAGACCTACACCCAATTAAGGTTAAACCTAACGTCAATGAACGACCAGTACAGACTGATTATTGTAGTGGCATTTTAGTAGCAGATGATACAAGACAAGGCAGATATAAAATTAGTTTAATAGACAGATATACATCAGCGTATGATACGCCTTCGTTTCATTGACGTGCTGGCTACAGCGTGACCTTGACCCTGTTGTGGTCTAGGCATGTTCAGGTGTAGTTGCTGCTTCAGGGTGCGCTTCTGGCATGTCGGCAGCTTCTTCATCGTGATCGTTGTGGATGCGGTCGAGGTCGACGGAGAGGAGGATGCCAGCGACGACGAAGACGATTGCGGCACTAAGAGTGATCCCCCAGGAGAACCCCAGATAGAAGACGGCGAAATAGATCTCGCCTCTGATCCAGTAGACAAACACACCGCACAACAGCAAGGCAGCTAAAATATTAATAAATTATTCAGCACGTTTTCTTGAGAATGCCATTCACATTTGTAGTCTTATTGTATTCCTGCATAAGCTCACAAAAGTGTTACCTTTGCTCGAAGGGTCGTATCTATCTACATTTTTCGGTTATGAAAAAATATTCAAAGTTCGTCAGATAGTGAGGTGTTTATAACTGAGACCGTTCATTGAAACAACATTTTATCAGGGTTTTTTATTGTTCTCGTTATTTCTATTTCGACGACGGTTTTTAAACAATAATTGCTACTACCTGGTGCAAAGGCGTGAACGATGGCTGCAATCCGGATTGCCTTTTTGTGTGCACATGCGACGTCAAACATGATGATGAACGATAGTATGACTCCGGCCAGACCAAGGATCAAGCCAATCGTTACAAGTGCTTGCACGGCCACAAACCAATCTTGATCTGTAACATATAGGGAATAATTATATAATCACATGGTGTGTGCCTTCCCCAATAGAACTAAATGGACCAGACTTGATCTGTAACATATAGGGAATAATTATATAATCACATTGTGTGTGCCTTCCCCAATAGAACTAAATAAACCAAACTTGATCTGTAACATATAGGGAATAATTATATAAGCACATTGTGTGTGCCTTGTCCAATAGAACCATATAATCAGGTTTAATCTGTAAGATACTTGGAATAATTATATAATCACATGGTGTGTGCCTTCCCCAATAGAACTAAATGGACCAGACTTGATCTGTGATATACAGAGAATAGTTATGCAAGCACATGGTGTGTGCCTTCCCCAATAGAACTATATAAACAGGTTTAATCTGTAACATACTGGGAATAATTATAAAAACACATGGTATGTGCCTTGTCCAATAGAACTATATAAACAGGTTTAATCTGTAACATACTAGGAATAATTATAAAAAACACATGGAGTGTTCCTTCCCCAATAGAATGTTAATGTATGTAAACAAGCCTTTCTACGAAACATACAGGGAATAATTATACAATCGCATGGTGTGTGCCTTTCCCAAAAGAACGATGTAAACCAATCATATTCTGTAACATGTAGGGACTAATTATACAATCACATGGTGCCTTCCCCAACTAAGACAAGTGGATTTTAGCATATTGAATAATCTAAAACCTCGTCTACTCGAAGTACCATCGAAAATATATCGAGTGTATATTCGAGACAAGCAGAGTGCCGATATTAGACTTAAATGACGATAACACTGCTGGTAGCTTAAAACTCGGTCGTTAATAATTACGACGAAAATAATTTCCATAATCATAAGAAGTAGCTGCTAAAAGTTGTCCAGTGTACGATTCCGACGATGTAAGCATATGTTTATAAGCACTATCAAATAGTGATGATACCAGGGATCCGCGAAAAGATGAACCTATCCTATCCCACGGATGGCATCCGTCACAAACACATGCAAAGGCAGCTCAATTATTCACATTAGGGAACCAAGGGAACACCTTGTACAAGTAAACCATGAAACGTTTGGAATTCTTCATTGAGGCCTAGAATACTGTAACCCTGATCAAACAAGGGAATTGTATCGGACATCATTTTGGTCACTGATGCATCAAATTTAGAAATATCATCTACACGTCTTCCATTAGAGAGTGAGTGAGTATGGTTTCGAACCCGGGTCTACGAGCGAAAGCTTTGACCACCAGCCTACCCCACAGCCCCGTCTTCCCATTAACCGTTTTGAAAGCTTTACACATGCCTTGTTGTAATCCTGATCAAACAAGTCTTATGAACTTTGTAAGTTTATGGAGTTCGAGTTAACGAGGTTTTAGTATTAGCATTAAAAATACGTTTATTTCTGTCAACGCTGAGTTACCGAATCCTTTCTACGTCCAAGTAAGTTGTCATCCATGAACCCTAGTTTTCATTATGTTACAAGGAGGTTAATGTTATATTCATACACGTGAATAGGATCATTGTTCACTTTTATTTTCGTTTTTTTAAATCGTAATTTTGGAACATTCCAGGTTTTAGACATACCTCCAAGCGGATCATCGAGGGTTGAGACACAGAGGCTCCCGGTGCACCTCTCCCAGAGTCCTTCGTTCTGACCTCCTCTTGTACTCCATAGTGGCGTCCCGAACCCCAGCAGGAGGAGGACAAAGGCAAAGAGAAACAAGAAAGCTGATACCTTGACGAAGACCGAAGTCTTACCACAACACCCTGCGTGTGTCATCTCGGACGTCTCCGGGGAGTAATTCTATATCCGATTCTTCAACGAATTCGGCATAGTTATATACCATTTCATAGTAGAATACTGCGGTTTCATTGGTCGCAAGATAATTAATATGCAAATAAACTGGTCACGTGATACAATACATTCTGATGCTTGTGTTTTACACGTGCTTAGGGTAAGAATACTGTGTTTTAGTGCAGCATGTACACATAATTGTGGCACGCCCATAGTTCGACAGATTTAGGTGGCTGTAGCGTCTGAATACTGATATTGTCACGTTCAATGTAGTCACATTGGAAACGAAATATTGTTAATTAGGAGCTTATTTATTTATCATAAATTCAATTTAAATCAAAACGTATGTGACATGAAGACTCGTGTAGGATAATATATATATGGTTTTCCTTTAACCGTTCACAGGTGTATTAACAGTATTCATTGTGTAGAGGTAGCTCTAAACAGATGTACATAGTTATTATAATCAACAGCAACATCTATACTTTGACAATGAGTGAGAGTAAATGTTGTTTGATGCCGCAGCCAGTAATTTTGCATCAGTCCATGCTCGACCCGGCAATACAGTGAGCTGTTAGGGAGCGTGGTGACATACTCGACCACGTTGTACAGTCAGTGATTCTAACCACTCACTCCAAATTTTAGGCTCCAGTTAGAGCAGGTCTGATGTAAGCTATATAAGAGTGACAGGCGAGTAAACTGGATCTGCTGGTCAGGTTTGGTGACGAAGTTGATTACATGACTGTCAAACTGTTATCCATATTGAACATCGATATCGTTATCCGTGTTTTCAGAAGTCAAGAGCGCATCTTCCAGACGGCTTTCCTTCATATTTCCGACTGGACGCGAATGATACTATGTTGTTAGACATACGTTCTGTTTAAAAACCAGGGGGCGCTTTATTAGTTTTCGAGCATGTATGTACAGAAAATGGGCAGTTTCATGTTGCTTTGTTTGCAAAACGTAGATTCAGTGAATCTACGTTGTTCTAACCGCTTATAACGAGTTACAACCAGCCGTTATCGTGCGTGTACTAAACTGACTTCAAAAACAGAACATGCGTGATTTGGTTGCATGTGTGACTATGAGAAGACCATATCATTTCTCTTGTTTGCTGTTTAACGTCGCACTCAGCAATATCCCAGCTATTTGACGGCGGTCTGTAAATAATCGAGTCTGGACCAGCCAATCCATGCATCGTGCATCTGTGGCGTGCATATCCCTGTCCCGACTCTCTCCCATGCATCGTGCATCTGTGGCGTGCATCCCTGTCCCGACTCTCTCCCATGCATCGTGCATCTGTGGCGTGCATCCCTGTCCCGGCTCTCTCCCATGCATCGTGCATCTGTGGCGTGCATCCCTGTCCCGGCTCTCTCCCATGCATCGTGCATCTGTGGCGTGCATCCCTGTCCCGGCTCTCTCCCATGCATCGTGCATCTGTGGCGTGCATATTACTGTCCCGGCTCTCTCCCATGCATCGTGCATCTGTGGCGTGCATATCCCTGTCCCGACTCTCTCCCATGCATCGTGCATCTGTGGCGTGCATCCCTGTCCCGGCTTTCTCCCATGTATCGTGCATCAGTGGTGCGCTCTTTGAAATCTATGTGGAAAGTGCCTGCTAGATTGTGCCTCAAAAGTTGTGAAATGTAAACACATAGACTGGTGCTGCTGGGGTATTGTTCGACATAAAGGGACAGTTGACTATTATTGTTAATCTGTGCTCCGATCTAAATATATATTAGATGAGACCTCACTGGTGTCTTATATTTCCTGTTCAGATGGGTAAATCAAGGGAAGGGAATTGTCTATGTGATGGTCATTGCACGAATTTAAAAAAAATCTTAAATTACCCTGAGGATGACCAATTCCTAAATTACACACAAGATAACAAATTACATAATCACCCAGAGGATTAAACTATCGTCAGTCACCACTAAAGCTTATGTTAAAAATAACAAGGATAACAGATTCCTATATTATCCACATAACAATTTTTGTTTATAATAACAAGCAACGTCGTCAACAAACGAGAGGTTTACAAATTCCATATTCACCCAGCAGAACACTTTGCTCAATCACCAAGAGAATAACAAACAAATGATTCAGTCACAAACAGGAAAACAAACACATTCCTTAATCACTAAGAGGATAACAATTTCTTAAATTACCAAAAGGCTAACAAACATGCTCCTCATCAAACACCCAGAGGATAATAAACAAATTCTTATATCACCCAGAGGATAATAAACAAATTCTTAAATCACCCTGAGAATAACAAACACATTCTTCAATCACCTAGAGGATAACAAACACATTCTTCAATCACCCTGAGAATAACAAACACATTCTTCAATCACCTAGAGGATAACAAACACATTCTTCAATCAACCTGAGAATAACAAACACATTCTTCAATCACCCAGAGGATAACAAACACATTCCCCAATCACCAAGAGGATAACAAACATATTCCCCAATCACCCAGAGGATAACAAACAAATTTCTCAATCACCAAGAGGATAACAAACATATTCCTCAATCACAAAAAGGATAACAAACACATTCCTTAATCACCAATAGGATAAGCACTGCAATAGCAAAAGGTAAAACCATCTCCATCACCCATCTCTGTGCAGAATTGCTTCCCTTGAGCATGCCGGAAACATATGATTGTGGGTTCGAACCCCGGTGGGCCACTATTATGTTTCTAACAAGCACATACCCGTGTTCGTTGGTTTCTCTGACCTGAATCACTTCGGTTTTTCCTTCCACATTCAGGTGACACCGTGCTATAACTGGAATGCTGTTCAAAGCGGCGTTACACAGACCTCACTCACTCGTCAACCAAAATGCCCCAGAAGAGAATATAGGGTAACTATTCACCTCTTAGGGATATATATGCGTATAAAGTGTGTTAAGTGTAATAAAAGCTCATATTAGGGAGCTATTAATTTAAGTCAAATAATTTTATTGGATTAAATCCTCGACAAACACCTATTAGTTTTAAATCATACACAGAGATATTGATAGATGTGTTCCGGATATATAAACTTAAAGCAATAATGCTACATCGAGATACAGTAAACTACGGTTATAACGAACTCAGGGGGACTACTAATTTTAGTTCGTTATAAGCATATATACAGCATAACTACAGCAAATAGTCGGGACCAAAAAAGGAAGTTCGTTATATCCGTCAGTTCGTTATAAGCGCGTTCGTTATAACCGTAGTTTACTGTACAGTAATCTAAATGTATATATTACTGGGAAGAATATTGTTGACAACAATGAACAGCCATTAGCTTCGACGTAAAGTTTATGGATGAATAAACAATTTAATTATCAAAATCAATTTGTTGCTTTAAATTTAAACATTAAAACGTATACGTCATAAAAACAAGAACTGTAAGCATGTCATCTTATCATGAACGGTTCTATTGGAATGAACGAATGGGGCCATGCTAATACACAACGAATGGGGCCGTGCTAATGTTTTAGACCACTGACATGAAACATCTACCCGTCTAATGTCAGGTATCATTTGGCGGTGTAATTATTAGATCTTCACGATAATGCTTACTATTCCCCTTCATTGATTCTATTCGACTGCGCCCTATCATGTCCCGTTCCCGAGAACACAAACCGAAAGTTGCTTCCCTTAGACTGTCGTGTCATGGCTAAATTTAGACCATTAATATAAGCGTTACTCATTCTCACGACAGTCAGATCAATTGGCCTGTTTGAAGGAGGTAGGTGGTTGTCTAGCCATGATCTTGAAAGAAACTTAATCTTTATAATGTGTAATGTCGTCTTACAGTATGGCGCTGATCTTGCAGGGTTACCTGCATATATATTTAAATAGAAGTACTCGGACAAAGCAGGAAGTTTGTCACATAATAAGACACACATATTCAATGATTACACTGTACTTGGTGAGAATTATGTTATAGCATATGTAACAGGTCGATGTTTATGCTATGTCCAATGTGAACTATTTATGTGGTAGCTAGTTACGGATATCTGCATCGATCCCTGTATTGTGGACATATGCTTGTCGGATATACACAAAGATACATGTTAAGGGGACGTCATTTGATTGCTGGTGCAGTGTGTGCATATATGCGTGTAGTGTTGTGACATTTCTATCCATGATAACACGGTTAGGTTATCTATGTTACACATTCTTATATCACGAGACTAACTATGACCCGCTACTACTGGTCACGACTATGTATATTGCCTTAATGACTGCATCTGTTGCGCGGTATGAAAATCTCTTCCGGACATGAACGTCTGTGATTAATATTTCACAAATTCATGTCTTCATGAATCTCTTTCATACACTTCAAGACACATTAGGTTGAAATTGTACAAAATGAGAGAGAGAAAAAGGGGGGGGGGGGGGGGGGCTGACAAATCGAAAGTTGTTTATCTGTTACTATCTATCGTGTCACGTTTAAATTTAGAAATAAAAGGTTATCGATAAATGTACGCGTTACACAATCTTACGACAGTCAGTGTAATCGGCCTGTTTGAAGGATTCTGAATGCGAGAGTGTGGAAACTGACTGTCGATATTCTGAATGCAAGAGATGTACTGTACTGTGTGTCCGAGTGGTTCAACTCCACGTTATCCATGGAAAATCTATAGCAACGGAACCTTGTGGACGACGTACTTTGTGTTACGGTTACGGTTGCGGGTCGAGATCTTTCTGAAAGTTCTCCTTTGTATTCTGATATTAATTATTAACGTTTTGTTTGCGGGGGAGTGTCGAAACTGAATGTCGTTATTTTGAATGTGCTTAGTTAATAATATTCATTATGTTAGCACATCGAAAGGTAGTATCAGGTAGTAAAATATATATGTTATACCTCCTTGGTTAAACTTGCAATCGTGTTGTGGTATGGATTTTGACAACGTTAAAGATAATGGAGAAGAAGAAGAAGAAGAAGAAGAAGACGAAGAAGATGATGATGATGATGATGATGATGATGATGATGATGATGATGATGATGGACCAAGTGCCAAGTTGTCCGACTCCCCATTGTTCTCGGTCCCTTAGGTTTGGTACCTCCCAATCTGTTGACTGATTTGGAGAGTACCCGGGTTTACTGCCAGGAATACAGCCCTTCTGACAATCTGGGTAATGCAGAAGGCAGTGTTGTCACATTCACCGAAAAGTTCTGGGTGGGTGTGACAAGAGAGCGCTTCATGGGAGAATTCCCATTCGCTGTCTGGGCTGCGTGTAGAGGGGGCAAGGTCCCTGAGCTGATGATGAGCCTAACCAGCCTGACTGTGCCAGGATCATCCAAACCCCCTTTTGCTGCATTTTTTAATTTTTAATCTGTAAATAATGATAATAAAGGTAATTGTAGTGTTAAAGTAATGTTGTTGCTGCTGCTGCTGCTGCTGCTGCTGATGATGACGATGATTCTTTCATAAGGGCAACTGCGGTCAACATGGATATCGGAACACGGGTACTACGTGGCCCTGATTGGTCAGGAGGTGACAGTGACGGAGGTGAAGGTCACCTCGGGACTGTTGTGAGTGTAGGAGGGGAGCCAACCTGCGAAGTGCTATGGGACAATGGAAACCGTGGAATATGTCGGTCTGGAGCACATGGGAAACACGATTTGCTTGTGTTCGACACTGGGCCCACAGGTGCGTGCTTTTTAAAGAAAAGTTCTGCTATCTCGAGTAATCCGTAGTTCGAGATAAGTGGAGTGGTGATGAAACAATACTGACGGGCTTCTTAAAAATACATCGAGATAACGGTTACACTACATATCTCATCTAATATAGCATTCCAAAGTATGTTTTAATACTAGCTTATTTTCCCTGTGAATTGAATCTAGTCAAATAGGGATACTGTGAGTATATATGTATGTGTATGCGAACGCGTGTAAGATTTTAAGTACATGTTTTGAATCAAGTCTTTGAAAGGTATTTAGAAGTGATGCACATAAGGAAGAGAAGTTATGGATGTCAACTTCCTTATTATGAGGAACACAACGTTTCGGAGTATTTGCTTACTCCTTCATCAGTTGATTTGATGATATGAGGCAGAGAGCATCTATATGTACATGTAAGAACAACAAAAGTAATAAGAAAACAAAAGGTGGAAACAGATAATTGGCGCTGATAGGCAATTAGCAATACCTAATAGTATCAGGCTTCCAGTTGTCCATAACTTTCAGCGCTACTTACTGTAAAGTGTTGACTTCTATTGTCTATCTTATTACTTTTGTTGTCCTTACATGTACATATATATGTTCTCTGCCTCATGGCATTCATTCACCCGATGAAGGAGTAAGCATATACTCCGAAATGTTGTGTTCCTCATAACAAAGAAGTTGACGTCCATAAATTCTCTTTTTAAAAAGCGAAAAAAATGAAATACTCATAAGACCCCAAATTAAAAGAATGTGACGACATCCTCTTTTCATTTTATGTGGTGTAAAGAAGAAATATATGTCCCATGGCTATATTGTCGATTGGGCTTTTCACGTACTTTCCAGGACTTCAACACACCGGCATTCTTTGTAACGGATGTGACGTATTCGGAATAGCAGGGACACGCTGGACGTGCAGCACGTGCAAAACGTGCAACCTGTGCAGTGTGTGCTATGGGAACGCTGAACATGATATCGCTCATGACTTCGTCAGATATGACACGCCGGGATGCGAAGGGTAATATTCTTTAATAAGTCACACATTTTTTGTTTCTACATATCCAACTTCCTAATGACCGCGATACATATTATGAAGATAATCTAGTTACAAGTACCCCGAACCTATCGAGGTTGTTTACGATGTGGTTTAAAGTTAGGTCTGTTTGAAACGGCACGATGATTTAAGAGACGATTTATGACGAGGTTTAGGAGGCCTTTGTGAAACGTGGACCAGGACAAATTAGGAAGTTCTTCACAAAAAGTGTTGTGATACGCATCGTTAGGCCACATCAATATGATTTGGTTTTATGTTCTAGTGTCACTGTCCCCCCACGGAGAAAAGGTGTTCGAATACAAGCCATGGGCTTATTCCCGAGAGCAAGGGTTGCGCGAGGAATTAACTGGACATCGAAAGATGAAGATGGTAAACTGCATTTATAAATACTACTGAAAAAGTGAGTGAGTTAGTTGGGGTTAACGCCGCTTTTAACATTATTCCAGTTACATCACGGCGTGTCAGCTTAATGTTGGAGGAAAGCCCAAAATTCTGCAGGTCTCAGACGTTAACCACTTCGGTGAAACCCACGAGCACGGGTATGGTGCTGACAAACCTAGAAACATAATCGGGGCGAATCGGGATTCAAACCCACAATCATGGGCTTATGGCGTGTCCAAGGGACGCAACTCTGCACGGCGAATCGCGTCGCCTTGGACGAATGGGCCACCCGTGCCCCCTTCAGAAATGGAGTTACAGAACACTCGCAAGGTTGTGTGTTGCACCAGACATGACAGATCAACTATAGTCATATGCAAAAATCGGGTGTCCTTCAACTTATTTTGAGTAGTATATATCAAAATGATAATTGCTGAAATTACGTGTGTCCTTAGTTTTGCACACTGTAGAGTCTTACAATCGTGCGTGGGTTATTTAAAAAAACATTCCCCTGTATACATTGCGGGAGTTATTTCTACTGTGAGGCATTCTTCTGGTCTCTTGGAAACAATTCTTCATTTGCAGAGTAAGTAGTTTTAACCGCCCTCTATCTAAATATTCCGAAAATAAACGACTCAAAACTTGACGTTATTTTGCTCATTGGAATTTCAAGAGTTGTGTTCCACGAGCCGTGCTTCAATGTATGACCGGAACATATGACCGACATGATACAATTTTGATGTCGCAGGCGGAGAAGACTCTGAAGGTGAAGTGAAGTGTGTTGAGGACCACCCGAGTGGAACCTCTTTTAGGAGCATGGTGAAAGTGGAGTGGAACTGCGGCAACACTGGGTCGTACCGAGCTGGACATGAGGGCAAGGTGGAGGTCAAGGTTGTCACAGAGTTTCCGGGAACGTTTTACTACAGGGATCATTTACGATTTTTCACCGGGTCCGAAAGTGAAGCAACACATGGCGCAAAGAATGGTATATATATATATTGTTTAATTTAATATAAAAACAACAACGAGATATTCATACCTGAACTCTAACACATGAAACATATTTAACGCGGCTTTCAAATGTAGAGTTGTTATGTCAGGTGGTATCAGCTTATTTTGTAGAAACGTCCACATCAATGCCATCTTCCCGAGGCAAGTGAGTTAACTGACTATAAAAGTCCAGTTTCCAGCCTTGTTCGGCAAGGGAGTTAGGGAGTTACATTCTGGCTGGACTAACGAGTCTATGCATAGTCCAATCAAAATCGCGCACCGAAATCGAAATCCGGTTCCTAAAGTGTCATGCAGATTTCGCTCGACTGCAGCATTTGCAAAGCATGTGCACCGCTAACTCGTTGTCAACAGATATTTTCTAAATCTTTTCATGTTTTTAATCAAGGTGCTTACGTAATTTGATGCACTTCGCGATGTAAGACTCGTTTTATCACAATATAGATCTTGATTATCGATCAGATCGTCTTGACTGGGCGCCACCGTTTTGTTTGAAAGCAAATGCAAGTGATACGAGAGGTTGAATCTGATTGGTCAGTAGGAGAGGCATAGAAAGGACATAACTCGCAATAGCCACTGGTGGCGCTACGAACGAGCCCAGGAATTCCAGCCTAGTTCGGCAAGGGTGGAAACTTGACTTTTAACTCTCTTGCCTCGGGAAGATGCATCAATGCACGCACGGACAAAATCAATGGGATTTAAACCCACAACCAGCGGATCCTGGTACATTTGTAAAATGATACGATGATTGAGACCACTGGGCCACTCGTTCCCGTAGTCAGTGATAATATATCCAACTAAGAGGAAGGGAAATTAATATAATATGTTTTCTGTACGTAGAAAAGTCGCCTCCGTAGTTCTTATAGCAGAAGGGACGGTGGGGTAGCCAAGTTGTTAGAGCGTTGGCGCGTCTTGCCGAAGTGTTCGATTCCAAAAATGAGACCTATTTGATGTTGCTGGTATAATTCTAAAGACGGTGTAAAACTTACTCAGTTTCATCACAGGAATCAGATATGCGTGCATAGCCATGCTGTATGGTTTAATATTTCTACCCATCCATTAATATTACAGTAAACTACGTTTATAACGAACACGCTTATAACGAACTGACCGATATAACGAACTTATTTTTTTGTCCCGACCATTTGTTGTATAGATGCTATACATACGCTTATAACAAACTACGGTTATTAAGAACTAAAAGTAGTGGCCCCTTTGAGTTCGTTATAACCGTAGTTCGTTATAACCGCAGTTTACTGTACTAGCACCAACACCTTTCTTCATTAAGAACAGCCACAGTCTGCCCAACGGTCCCAGCTGTCCCCGGGGGACCGGGTGTGTATCCGTGTGACCTTGGAGGAACTACAACGGCTTCAACAGAACATCAGCCAGTGGGATCCCCATGTTCTCCAGGTGTTTCAACATCATCCTTATAACCATATTTCTGTTAGACTGGGGTAACTGTAGTAGACATCCCATTGATAAACATTTCACCATGTCTATTCATATATTGGCGACCGCTTCCGTGGTCTAGTGGTATAGCGCCCGCCCGGAGAACGGAAGGTCCGGGGTTCGATCCCCGGCCGCCTCATACCAAAAGACGTTAAAAGATGGTACTTGTTGTTGCCCTATCTGGCGCTCGACATTAAGGGGCTAAAACAAGGACTGGTCGGCTCGGAGTCAATATACTGTGTCTGAGTGGGGTATTCATGTTAAACTGTGGTGTGCTAGCACTATGAATCGGCATCAGTCCGGACTAGTACAAGCAGCCACACACACACACACACACACACACACACGCACACACGTGCATGCACGTCGCTATATAAGTGCAATAATCTTGGACGCGACGTTAAACCCAATTTCACCTCACCTCACCTCATATATTGGCATTAATCTAATCTGTATAATTAATATGATCACATGAATAGACATAATGTTGGTCCCATACTTTAACAGATTTAGAATTGTTTTCGACGTATGTTTCTATAGGCTCTTATACTGGTCGTGGCACTAACATTACTTTACAGGGCCGCGTGGATCCGCAAACTAAGTAATATCATAAAGAAGGTCAAGCCGCAAGCTATCCAGTTAATCGTCACGAAGATAAAAACTACAGAAATACATTTTCAGTTACTTCATCACACCACAAATTAGGATAAGGCATTCTTGACCCACTGTAAATATCAAATTTGTAAGTTCCGAACACTTTTATTGTTATATCTAAATACATGACATCTAGCTTTTAATTTTCTTGGACTTGCTCGTTTTGGACTTTTTGGCTTCGCCAAGTACATATGAATGGATATGAGCGAAAATATCAGATTTTTCAAAGGAATGAGGGAAACTTTTACCACGTGTTTGTGTTATCTCCATCTACAACGCCTAAAGGAAAGACTTGTTCGTGTTCAAGTACTATCTTAGAAAACCTCTAATATAAGTTGTTTTAAAACATTTTAGCCGCATCTGTGCATTTAGTGTTGTTATAAGTCCAAGACACACACCTGTTGAATACACAAATTGCACAAGTTATATAATGATTTCTCATAACGTTGCTCATTCCTCAGATGAGGCAGATACTGTGGGCCGAAGAAGGACCTTACTGTACCTTGCCCTCTCCTTTCTATCTATCTATCTAGCAATTTCCATTACGCCTAAATACACATCAAATTCAAATAGTTTCAAATGGCAGTATACTGACGCTAATGGCCATGTTCCCGGTGTACACAGTGTTTGCCGATGTTGGGAACTGTGAAAGGCTGCACGAAGCCAGGCCAAGTGGAGGTGTCCTTCCAGTGGCCAATCAGAGGACTGTTGGAAAGTGGAACGCATATCATTAATGAAAAGGCGTTGAAAAAGGTAGCGTATAAACTCGCTCCAGGAAATATGAAAAACTGTTCTGATAATCATCATGTAAAATGAAAACTCATTCACTCACTCTAGTCATTGTCTATTCGCTACTGAACCGCCTTCGTGGCCTAGTAGTAGAGCGTCCGCCCGGAGAGCGGAAGGTCCGGGGTTCGATCCCTGGCCGCGTCATACCAAAAGACGTTAAAAGATGGTACTTGTTGTTACCCTGTCTGGCGCTCGGCATTAAGGAGCTAAAACAAGGACTGGTCGGCTCGGAGTCAGTATACTGTGTCTGAGTGGGTTATTCATGTTAAACTGCGGCATGGTATCTCAGTGAGCTAGCACTATAAATCGGCATCAGTCCGGACTAGTACAAGCGGCCACACAAACACATACACGTACATGCACGTCGCTATATAAGTGCAATAATCTTGGACGCGAAGTTAAACCCAATTTCACCTCACCTCACCTATTCGCTACTGAGGCACACTCCTCTGGGGAAACAACAGTCTCGCCTGTAGTACAACTTTAGGTGTCCTGGTGACAACACACCTTTAGAGTTGGCGTGGACGACTGTCGTAATTAACTGGATACGCGTCAGAACTGTTTGTTTGTTTGTTTAACGTCGCACTCGGCAATATCCCAGCTGTATGACGGCGGTCTCTTAATAATCGAGTCTGGACCTGACAATCCAGTCATTGACATCATGAACATCGATCTATGCAATTGGGATCAATGACATGCATCAACCTAGTCAGCGAGCCTGACCACCGATCCCGTTAGTCGCCTCTTACGACAAGCGTAGTCGCCTTTTATGGCAAGCATAGGTTGCTGAAGACCTATTCTACCCCGGATGATCACGGGTCGGATACGCGTCAGACAAACCAGTAGTTGATAATATGAGAACTGAACCGAGTTGTCCCCACATTACGCCGACAAGATGACATGATACTGTTTAAATTAGCTTTTTACCAGGCTCATCCTTTAATCTTTCGACACTTTGTCTACAGATTGACACTTTCAAGGAAGGCGATAGTGTGCGGATCATTGAAGATGTCAATGAAATGAGACGACTTCAATTGGGCCATGGTGGATATAGCCCCATTATGTCAATGGTGCGTCTACAAAACCTACTTTCCTCAAAAGCACACCGATACCGTTCAAATATGTTAAATCTATCTCTGCATGTGGTAAGTACTGATGTTGACATATACCTTCAACCAGAGGTGTCGCATTGTACTTCCTTTTAACATTAAGCTGACGCCGTAAGGCTATGATAGCTTTTGTTTGCCATGTTGGCAACGTTCCAATAAGAATCATATCCGGATAATACCGGATTAAAACATATAAAAAATCAGACATTGGGCAAAAAAACTCCTCTCCCCCACTTACGGGCCTGAAATCGTTAGAAAAGGTAACAGCAGCGGTCGGGTAGCCTAGTGGTTAAAACGTTCGCTCGTCACGTCGAAGACCCTGGTTCGATTCCCGACATGGGTACAAAGTGTGAAGCCCATTTCTGGTATCCCCCGCGTGATATTGCTGGAATATTGCTAAAAGCGGTGTAAAACCATACTCACTCACCCAAACGTGACTTGTGTCATTACCTGCACAATGATATGAAATATTTGTATGACCGTTTCGTGACTTCTATGATTGAATTCGTTGAACCTAAACTCATTCACTTTACAATTTGCTAAAATGAATCTTACGGTCATTCAGACATTGAGCAAAATCATCACCCCACCCCCACTTACGGGCCTGAAATTGTTCACATGTGAGATGTTTCATAACCTGCACAATGAAGAGAAATATTTGTATGACCGTTTCGTGACTTCTATGATTGAATTCATTCAACCTAAAACTCACTCACTTCACAATTTGCTAATTTGAATCTTATGGTCATTCAGTCACTGGGCAAGGTGGGAAAGGTCCGCGCGGTCAACCTACTCGGTGATGTAGTGGTCAGTTTCGGCAGAGTTGTGTGGCACTTCAGTCCTGCCTGCTGCAGTCGAGTCCAACCACAGCGAGAAGACAACCTGGAAGAGCTGGGTGATGGACACAACACATTGATAGGTTACTATAGGATAATCTCAAGACTTAAGATAGATTTTGTTTGTTTTTGATGTTTAACGCCGCACTCAGCTATATTCCAGCTATAATACGGCGGTCTGTTACCAGACAATCCAGTGATTGATATCATTGGCATCGATCTACGAAATTGGGATACGATGGCATGCATCAGCCAAGTCAGCGAGCATTTGCAAGTTATAAAACAGAGTTAAAGGTTCAAAACATGTAGTCATCTTTGATAGTCCGGTTTATGTAATATTTATTACAAAGAAACTTGAAGTCTTGGGAAGCATTGACAGTATATCGAGTTATCCGCACTTTGAGACAACTAAACCTTAGTCCCTCAAGTGATTCTACCTTGAAGTTACTCTGTCTCCATCGATTGAAGGAGTGCGAGTTAATGAAGCTTTACTGAAATTTTAACACATTATGGTGAACAGGTGCGATATGATTTCAGGTGACTCCAGCCCTGATGTGTTCCTCCCCACCATTGTGGACGGTAGCCCCACGACAGACGAAGGCCTGATTGCAAAGGCAAACGGCATGTTTGATGCTTTTTCCAAACAGAACTTCAGCCTCTTCATGATGATTTTTAAGTTGGATGAGAGACTGGTAAGTGCAGGCTCCAAAAATTTAATACCGTATTTCCTTTGATTGACGTCGAGGATGTAATACACGCCAGCCTCTAATTGACGCCGGTGCACTAGGCTCAAACGACTCCCCCTAAATTTGAATCTTGACTCATATGGACCTTGGCCCCCACATGACTCCCCTAGACAGGCTCAAAACATTCCCTCTAGTTCAGCTAACTCCCCTACTGGGCCCAAATGACTCCCCTTGTTTGGAATTAAAATGATTACAGAAAAGATCAAACATATCTTGCATTATAAAGGTGTCCAACCCCTCTTCCTCATTTTCTATTCTAAAATGTCAGGTTAAGAACAATCCCCAATATTGTGTGTCAGATGTTTAGTACCAGTTATTTTATTTTATTAAAGTTTTATTTTTAACTTTATTTGGAAAAAAACTTAAATCACTAAAATAGAAGCCGGGCCTCCATCAGACATCAGGGCCATCATTTGATGAAATTAATCATCCCTATCACATTTAATTACGTCATGTAATGATAAATCCCTTCACACAATAATAACTGTTTCCTGCAAGGGTAAACTTTGAATGCCTGTAGAATGTGGGATTCAGTGAGGTAGTGAATTGCCATTGTGCCAGCATGAAACAGAATAGACGCCTCTCATAGACGTCGGGTCAACGGCTTGTACGTTATTAATAGACGCCCGGGCATCTATTAGAGTGAGTGAGTATGGTTTTACGCCGCTTTTAGCAATATTCCAGCAATATCACGGCGGGGGACACCAGAAATGGGCTTCACACATTGTACCCATGTCGGGAATCGAACCCGGGTCTTCGGCGTGACGAGCGAACGCTTTAACCACTAGGCTACCCGACCGCCCCTGGCATCTATTAGAGGAAATACTATAGCTTCTTTACGAAGACTGTCAATTTTCATAAGGCTGCGCGGCTTCTTCCGCATGGAAATAATTGATAGGTTGAACGACGTTGTGCATTTTCTGTCAGTTAGTATATTTTTACAATAACGATGCTCTTATCGTGTCACAAAACGGTTCCTTGTGTCATCATGGAACGTGGTGGGCATCGATCTAATACAGACCGCATCTACATTGTAATGACAAATGAAATCAATATGTATCAAGTTTTTTCAATGTAAACATACTGTTTATTTGTCTCGGCCAAGCAGGTGTCTTTCCTTTCAGGAACAAAAACAGAATTTTTATTTTGATCATTGTTGTTTTTTTCCATTCCAATTAGAAAAATATCATTCATCATGGAATAACGCCCCTGATTCTTGCCTGCTCCGCCGGCGTTGTCGATGTCGTGAAGCAATTGTTGGATGAAGGTGTGGACATCAACCAGAAGGATGTTGGACAACAGACGCCGTTGTTACACGCCATCTTCAGGTAAAAGCCCCCTGCGCTACACCTTATATATTTAGTCTGTGGCGAATACCCGTGGTGAATTTTAGTGATAAACATATTGTCTTTTCCGATTTGCGTATTTGGAGTATTTGAAACCTGGGTATTTTATTTGAACCTACGGCAACATGTGTCTCAGGTCAGATCAGGTCAAGCATATTACATTAAACATTTACTCCTGCAGAGACGCAGATGCTGTCCTCGAGATCTTGTTGGCGCGAGGCAGTGACGTGAACCTGGCGGGTCAGCAAGGCATCACTCCGTTACACATGACTGTCATAAATAACGTGACGAAACACGTCAGTCTCCTGATGGAGAGGAAAGCAGATGTCAACATTCGGGTAAACTGAAACACGCATCTCAGTTTGTTAGTAAGGACGCTGTGAAAGCACATTATCCATCCAATGCTGATGGACTACTAATTATTTCAGTCTCATTGATGATGCATTACACTTCAAATTTGACTTCACCTCGATCGCGATCCCGTCGCGTCAGAATAGCGTTCGTTTCCGTAACCAATCTCCTCGACATATATATTGTGTTCCAACCTCATCACGGTCCCGTCGCGTCAGAATAGCGTTCGTTTCCGTAACCAATCTCCTTGACATATATATTGTGTTCCAACCTCATCGCGATCGGAACGCGATCGACTTCCATGACCTTATTGGACCCGTGAAGATTCCGGGGTAGAATAGGTCTTCAGCAACCCATGCTTGCCGTAAAAGGTGACTATGCTTGTCGTAAAAGGCGACCAGCGGGATCGGGTGGTCAGGCTCGCTGACTTGGTTGATGCATGTCATCGATCCCAATTGAGTGGATCGATGCTCACGATGTCAATCACTGGATTGTCTGGTCCAGACTCGATTATTTACAGACCGCCGTCACATAGCTGGAATATTGCTGAGTGCGGCGTTAAACAACAAACCAAACCAAAACCATGACCTGATTGCGATCGATTATGTAGTAATCCTTAACACTGGCATTCGAGTCGTCCTTGTTTGAGGTTAGCAAGGATTAATATCAGTACCAAAGTCATGTTATGTTCATTGACCTTCATTGCTAGTGGTAAGAGGCGACTAACGGGATTGAGTGCAGCGTTAAACAACCAACCAACCAACCAAACTATGGAGTCAGTTTTGGGAATATCTGAGACTAATTATTCTCTGGCACTGACGTTTCCAGTTCGTAGCTTGTCCTTCAAAATACGTTTTCGCGAGAGCTTGTCAATGAGCTTAACGCGGTTTAAAAAATATTGTGCCTATTTCCCAAGGTAAATAGATTACGGATGGTTTTGAAATTGGTTTTCATAAAGGCATATTTATTATTAGACCGCCGTCATACAGTTTGAATATTGCTTACAACAAACCAACATTAACCATTGCCTTTTCTTTTGGCTAACACAACATATAATGCGTGTCGTCGATGCACCATAAGGTGAAATACTAACTCCTTTACAAAAATTACTCCCTACCTAGTGTAAAAAATAGACAGAAAAAGGCTTGACTGTCTCAATCCTGAAGATGCGTATTACATGGGCGACCCCGGGAATATCTAGTTCCTTGAAGCATGATTTATATGTTCGGTATCATTAAAATGGATGCGGTAAGACCTATCATAAACGTTTGACAGAAAAATCTCACGTGTTTGTCTATATTCCGTTGGCATACATTCCCAAAAGGTGGATCAATCTTAGTATAATCAGATTGTTTACTCCGATACGATACCCGTGTCAAGCACAGAGAGGTATCATACTGGAGTAAACGATCGGTCTATAATGAGATTGATCCACCGTCGAGAATGTATGCCAACTGTATATACTAGTATATTCAATTTGGTTTATTACGTCAGTGTAGCCCATCGGCCTATAGTTACATTTGTATTACAATGGACGTGATGCACACAGCTACTATTGGTCTGACAATAACGTACTACGATCGATATAGATAGCAAGACGTTTAATTAATTCACAATCATTTGTAGACATAATGATATTAAATTTTTGTTTTGTCGGATATTCACAATATCTGTGGTAAGTGATCCACCCGTAGCTACTTATAACCGGAGCAAACTAACAAAAAATTATACTCGTCCTCCATACTGGTATATACAAACATGGGAACGTGTTTGTTTGTGTAAGATATAAACCATCAACTCCAGAGAATAATAAGTCTCTGACGAAGCAAATACCATACTCTTTAACTCTATTTTATAACTTGCAAATGCTCGCTGACTTGGTTGATGCATGCCATCGTATCCCAACTTCGTAGATCGATGCTCATTATATCAATCTCTGGATTGTCTGGTCCAGACTCGATAATTTACAGACCGCCGTCATATAGCTGGAATACTGCTGAGTGCGGCGTTAAACAACAAACAAACAAAAACTAGTATGTACAAACATGGGAGGGTGTTTGTTTGTGGAAGATGTAGATAATAAACCATCAACAGCAGAGAATAATATGTCTCCAGCACCTGCCGAAGTAAATGCCATTGGAGGTAAAAGGCAAAATAGTGGTGGAAATTATTTGAACGGATCACTGAAACTCAGTGATGACACCAGGTGTTCGCGAAAAGGGTAAGCATGTCCTGCTATACCATTATAACACTTTCTCTTTTCTTTCTCTCCTAGGACCAGAATGGAAACACACCCATTCAAGTCGCGATAGGAATGGGTAATAAGGACCTGCTGTCTATGCTGCTCAAAGCTGAAAATATTGATCACAGACTATGTAACAAAAGCAACTTCAACAACCTGCAGTTGGCATCCCTGAAAGGGAACTATGAGTAGGTTGATCCATTTGATAATTACTGCTTTGAATGGGCATATAGCTATATGCAAATGCTTCACCTTCTTTGCCTTACAGGCAGCTTGGGTTGTTTACTTCCTAGGGAGCTGAGAATGAAATCGAGTGCTCACAGATACTTTGGCCGAGGTCATAATGATGTAACGCTTGTGTGGTGTTGAAATATTGTGTAGTAGTAGTAGTAGTAGTAGTAGTAGTAGTAGTAGTAGTAGTATTACAGCCAGGCTGGTTAGCTCAGGGCCCTTGCCCTCTCTAAACGCAGCCCAGACAACGAATGGGTCTCCTCCGAAGAAGCGCTGCTTAGTCGAACCCACCCAGAACGGAGAATGTGAAGACTCCCCAACACTGCAGCCTTCTGCATTGCCCAGATTGGCAGAAGGACTATGTTCCTGGTAGGAAACCCGGGTACTCTCCCAATGTCGGTCAACAGATTGGCAGGTACCAAACCTAGGGCACCGAGAACAATGGGGAGTCGTACAACGTGATACTTGGGATGCAAGCGTGACATTTCGAAAGCGAGCTCCGCATATTTGCCATGTTTTTCCTGAATTTTGTCGATCACATTAGTGTCAAAAGGGACAAAAAATTCAATGATTAACATGATTTCATTGGATTTATCAAAAAGGACAAGATCAGGTTTGTTGGCCTGGATACGTCTGAGGCTATAAACGGGCCTATTCCAACGTATTTATCATTTTCAATGACGCCCTCTACATATTCTGGGTTGTACCATGGATGGACCTCTGTGTCAAAACCACAAGCATGACGAAGACGGTAATAAAAGGATCAAGCCACTCCATCATGTCGCTTAAGATACTGTGTTTGTGCCAAAGTTGGGAATCCAATGACAATGTGTTGTCTCAGTAAATTCATTGCATAATCCCCTTTTTATATTTACATTTTCATGCAAAATCACACATAGACGGTTTCGAGTGGGAAGTGACTATTCCTGAGCAGCAAACAGAAAGCCTTCTGTTTCACTTTTCAGGCCAGCCGAATTCAGCGAAGGACTCTGCAGGGTTGCTGACCTTCGCAACCCAATGCACTCGATGCAGTGGTCGTTCAGATAGCCACTCCTTAAAAAACTAGGCCGATTTGATATGGCACTTCGTTTGGTTGACACTCATTTCTATATCGTCCAGCAGTACAGAACCATCAACAAAATCAACATTGATATTGAGATTATGTCCCACATTATTATTTTCTACGGAATATCGTTCAATTGATATTAGTTATCCTTTTGATTCCCTATTACGATTACAGCGATCTTCACAATAAAAGAGATTATTGTGCCATAGGGACAGCTTCAAACAAAAATGTTTTTTGTCGAACACATGCTTCATCTTCTGGTGTGTTATTACAGAATTCTCCAAAGGGTGATGGCCGTGACGCCACTCGATGTTGTCGACTTAGGGATGGTGGATACAAGGTTCACGGCGCTTCATATTGCTGCTAACAATGGCCACACCGACTGCGCCACTATTCTCATCGAAAAGGTAAGACGATGATTAAATACAGAAATGACGGACTCTATTAGATATAGTTTGGCTTGCTTACAAGCGTGTTAATACGTGTCCTAGATTTCAATTTGGCACATCCTCGATTGTCCATTCTGTTTTGATTAATACCCCGGACCCACGTCACAATAGCTTCGTGTGGAGTCCGATAAAAATAGTTTTTCTGTTCAGCGAGATTGATTCAGTGATAAGCTGGAGATATATGATGACGTCACTTGCGAGATATCCCTGGACAATAGAGGATGTCTGACACAATCAGACACGTAAAACCCTATCTTGGTATCCTACATCACTACCAATATCATGTTTAAGGTACCGCGACTCACGTTCCTAACGACCCGTGAATATCCGGGGTAGAAGCATCTTCCCGAGGCAAGGGAGTTAACTGACTATAAAAGTCCAGTTTCCACCCTTGGCGAACTAGGCTGGTATTATGGAGTTTCATTTTGACTGGACTAACGAGTCTATGCACAGTCCAATCCAAATCGCGCAACGAAATCGAAATCTCGGTTCGTAAACTGTCATGCACATTTCGGTCGATTGCAGGATTTGCAAAGCATGTGCACCGCCAACTCGTTGTCAACGGATATTTTCAAAATCTTTTCATGTTTTTAATCAAGGTGCTCACGTAATTTGATGCATTTCGCGATGTAAGACCCGTTTTATCACAATATAGATCTTGATTATCGAGCAGAAGGTCTTCAGCAACCCATGCTTGCCGTAAAAGGCGACTATGCTTGTCGTAAAAAGGCGACTAACGGGATCAGGTGGTCAGGTTCGCTGACTTGTTTGATGCATGTCATCGTATCCCAATTTCGTGGATCGATGCTCATGATGTCAATCACTGGATTGTCTGGTCGTTATTTACACACCGCCGTCATATAACTAGAATATTGCAACAAACAAACAAACATCATGTTCCTATCATTCCTGACTCTCGAAGCATGTCAGGAATCACCCTTGGTCTGTCGGCCGAATGCGTTCTTTTTTACTTTCCTTCCGCATTAACCTGACCCGCAGCGAAAAATGAAATAGTGTTGTAAGTGGCACAAGATTCCTTCTCCCTAAGCCAATATCCTCTTCCGTGTATCACAAAAAAACAACAGAAAATGGGTTATACTCACAACAAGTATGGGTTTTTTTCAGGGCAAGGCGAATGTTAATGCACAAAACATGCAGGGAGTGACACCTCTAATTCTGGCCTGCTCGGGGCTGTATGACACTACTGTGGCTCTGCTATTAAGGAAAGGTATTTGAAACACTTCATGCTGCTGGTTCTGTAATTAATAATACTTACATCGTATAAACTAATACTTAGTGGGGGCACGGGTGGCCCAGTCGTCTAAGGCGCCGCGGTTCGCTGTGCAGAGTTGCGTCCCTTGGGCACGCCAGAAACCTATGATAGTGGGTTCGAATCCCGGTTCGCCCCGATTAAGTTTCTAGGTTTGTCAGCACCATGCCCGTGCTCGTGGGTTTCACCGAAGTGGTAAACGTCTGACACCTGCATCACTTCGGGCTTTCCTCCCACATTAAGCTGACACGCCGCGATATAACTGGAATATTGTTAAAAGCGGCGTTAACCCAAAATCACTCACTCACTCACTTATACTTAGTTGTTTGAACCACCAGCTACAGGGGTCTCACACTCAGTATGCATCTGTAGTGCTACTCCTAGTCTGTCTCCCAGACCCAAGAGAAGAAATTAAGACTTAACTCAAGTCTAGAATGATTTGGCAAGTCTAGATCCTGACATTAAGCATTGTTCTGGCTCCATTTTGATTTTATGTTCTAGTTTGTAGATACGCATTCAAATAAGATGACTTAACTTTGTTTCTTGGACTCCTAAAACACCTATTAATGAAGGATTAATCATGTACATGTCTAAATACACAGGAAATATGAGTTGGAATACATAGTGCTCCCTCCATGAGCACTCCGCCTGTATTAGAGGATGTGTGGTGGGTATTTTTTTATCTCGCATCTCGATCACATGGGGAGTGATATATGTATGGTACATCACCGTGCCACCGTCACACGTGCGTGATTGTTGAAATGATAAAATGACATTATCATGTGTGATGTTTAACGTGACAAATATGTGACATTTACAGTATGGATATACGTGACATGACTGCCATGTACAGACGGGGCTTATACTAGTTCTAGACAAATAATGTTTTGATAAGGGACGACCGTTTTATAGTATGAGGAAAGGGGATGGGGGCATTGGATTTGTTTTGAAAACAAATTTGTCCTACGGTTTTTCCCCCTCAAAAACAGGCTCCTTCTTTCAGAGATGAATATGCGTCTTTTAAAGCATAGAATAATCTGTCTCTCATAGAAATCCCAGCCCAGAGTCATGCACGGTAAGACCGAGGTATAAGTGTTGCACAGTCAGACCTAGGTAGAAGTGTCGCACAGTCAGACCTAGGTAGAAGTGTTGCACAGTCAGACCTCGATAAGTGTTGTACAGTCAGACCTAGGTAGAAGTGTTGCACAGTCAGACCTAGGTAGAAGTGTTGCACAGTCAGACCTCGATAAGTGTTGTACAGTCAGACCTAGGTAGAAGTGTAGAAGTGTTGCACAGTCAGACCTAGGTAAAATGGTTGCACAGTCATACCTAGCTGAAGTTGTTGCACAGTCAGACATGGGTAGAAGTGTTACCAGTCAGACATAGGTAGAAGTTTGCACAGTCAGGCTCTGATAGAAGTGTTGTACAGTCAGACCCAGATAGAAGTGTTGCACAGCCAGACCTAGGTAGAAGTGTTGCACAGTCAGACCCAGACAGACGTGTTGCACAGCCAGACCTAAGTAGAAGTGTTTCACGGTCAGACATAGGTAGAAGTGTTGCACAGTCAGACCTGGATAGAAGTGTTGCACAGCCAGATCCGGATAGAAGTGTTGCACAGTCAGACCCAGATAGAAGTGTTGCACTTTCAGACCCAGACAGACGTGTTGTACAGTCAGACCCATATAGAAGTGTTGCACAGTCAGACCCAGATAGAAGTGTTGCACTCTCAGACCCAGACAGACGTGTTGCACAGCCAGACCTAAGTAGAAGTGTTTCACGGTCAGACATAGGTAGAAGTGTTGCACAGTCAGACCTGGATTGAAGTGTTGCACAGCCAGACCCGGATAGAAGTGTTGCACAGTCAGACCCAGATAGAAGTGTTGCACTTTCAGACCCAGACAGACGTGTTGCACAGTCAGACCCATATAGAAGTGTTGCACAGTCAGACCCAGATAGAATTGTTGCACAGTCAGACCAAGATAGAAGTGTTGCACAGTCAGACCTGGATAGAAGTGTTGCACAGCCAGACCCGGATAGAAGTGTTGCACACTCAGACCCAGACAGACGTGTTGCACAGTCAGACCTAGATAGAAGTGTTGCACACTCAGACCCGGATAGAAGTGTTGCACGGTCAGACCCAGACAGATGTGTTGCACAGTCAGACCCATATAGAAGTGTTGCACAGTCAGACCTGGATAGAAGTGTTGCACAGCCAGACCCGGATAGAAGTGTTGCACACTCAGACCCAGACAGACGTGTTGCACAGTCAGACCTAGATAGAAGTGTTGCACACTCAGACCCGGATAGAAGTGTTGCACAGCCAGACCTAGGTAGAAGTGTTGCACGGTCAGACATAGGTAGAAGTGTTGCACACTCAGACCCAGACAGACGTGTTGCACAGTCAGACCCAGATAGAAGTGTTGCACACTCAGACCCAGATAGAAGTGTTGCACAGTCAGACCCAGACAGACGTGTTGCACAGTCAGACCCATATAGAAGTGTTGCACAGTCAGACCCAGATAGAAGTGTTGCACGGTCAGACATAGGTAGAAGTGTTGCACACTCAGACCCAGACAGACGTGTTGCACAGTCAGACCCAGATAGAAGTGTTGCACACTCAGACCCAGACAGACGTGTTGCACAGTCAGACCCAGATAGAAGTGTTGCACACTCAGACCCAGACAGACGTGTTGCACAGTCAGACCCAGATAGAAGTGTTGCACACTCAGACCCGGATAGAAGTGTTGCACACTCAGACCCAGACAGACGTGTTGCACAGTCAGACCCATATAGAAGTGTTGCACGGTCAGACATAGGTAGAAGTGTTGCACAGTCAGACCCAGACAGACGTGTTGCACAGCCAGACCTACAGTATAGATCAAAGTAGATATAAAATAGATATCACAGTCGGACCCAGGGTCATCTCGGCATATCCAGACCAGGTGTGGCATAATGTACATTCATTCATTTAAAGACCAAAGATCAGATCGGTCGTTGGTAAAGATTGACGTCATTTAAACTAGGACTATACACCTCAGTGAATATTTCTGTCAACATTGTCCTCTCATCGTTACTTTCTCTTAGGTGCTGACGTCAATGTCGCCGACAACGCAGGGGACACGCCTCTGCACTTCACCATCCGTCCACAGATGGACCCGGCTATTCGACTCCTGATGGTACGGCATGTTACCAAGATACAGCGCCTTTGGCGTATTCTTTTTTCAGTTACACCTCATGTACCTACAAGAACATAAGGGGCGGTCGGGTAGCCTAGTGGTTTAAGCGTTCGCTCGTCACGCCGAAGACCCGGGTTCGATTCCCGACATGGCTACAATGTGTGAAGCCCATTTCTGGTGTCCCCCGCCGTGACATTGCTGGAATATTGCTAAAAGCGGCGTAAACCATACTCACTCACTACAAGAACATAAATTAAAGGCCATGTGTTCTGTTTCGGGCGTTTAGAATAAATAATTAATAATAAGTTTGGATTAAAGAATTATGGGTATGGAGTTGTGTCTGTGTAAAGCTTACCAAATTAAATTGTCGGGTAGGCAGGCTTTTCCGATTAGCGTTGTTCATAATACTGGAGTTCACGATATTGCAACGAAACTACATGGCGCGTGTAATTTAAAAAAAAACATTACTTTTTACGGAAATCCCTATTGATGTAAAACTTTACCCATGGATACGCCATGTTTTTTACTCTCGTTCCCGGTACTCCATATAAACAGATAACTGGTTTAGGCTGTGTATTTATCGTGAATGCAGTCTTTTAACACGTTCGTGGAGTCTCTTAACCGTTACAATATTCTTTTGAACCGGTGAAATAGTCTGGTAGATTAATTGGGACAGTGATGTGGAACTGGCCAGGTACACGAACTGTGGTACACAGCCAGGGAATTGAGGTTCACACATGTTGTTTTAGGTACCGAGACCTGACGAAAACAAGGTGCGCATCAAAATAGCGTGCCTCCTCTTACAGAAGGGAGCGAACATATACAGAAGAAACGCCCAGGGGAGAACAGCCCTTGACTGTAACGACGACTCAACTATCAGGACAGCCGTGCTAACATTCACGGAACAGATGTAAATCAGTTTAGCTCATTTAACATTATTGTACCGTATCATACACTTTAATTTGTGACTTGTGACTTGTGATGTGCGAAATATTCGTGATCTGATTACGTTTGTTCGTTTGATGCTTTAAGTCGCACTAGGCAAAATTCCAGCTATATGACGGCGGTCTGTAAATAATCGAGTCTGGACCAGACAATCCAGTAATTGACATCGTGAGCATCGATCCACGCAATTGGGATACGATGACATGTATCAACCACAGCGAGCCCGACCTCCCGATCCCATTAGTCGCCTATTACGACAAGCATAGTCGCCTTTTACGGCAAGCATGGGTTGCTGAAGACCTATTCTGGCCCGGATCTTCGCGGGTCCAATAATTTAGGGAAAAGGCTGTTGTTGCTAGCCTGGTGTTTGTAAATCATAACGTTAGAGCCATGAGGTGCGGGCAGGGTCGGTGCAAACTACAGACAAGTCAAACAAACTTAAGCAATGTCCTCCATGTTCAGTGTGTTATGTTACATCTCTGGATATGAGCGATGTGGATGTGTGGGTCGAATGTTGTCATATCACCATGTGTTGTTGCAGAAACCGTACAGCGAGTCTCTGTTAGTCTGGATATGAGCGATGTGGATGTGTGGGTCGAATGTCGTCATATCACCATGTGTTGTTGCAGAAACTCTGTTAGTCTGGATATGAGCGATGTGGATGTGTGGATCGAATGTCGTCATATCACCATGTGTTGTTGCAGAAACTCTGTTAGTCTGGATATGAGCGATGTGGATGTGTGGATCGAATGTCGTCATATCACCATGTGTTGTTACAGAAACCGTACAGCGTAACTCTGTTAGTCTGGGAACACAGTTTTCCAGACGTTTGCTGTTTTGGAGGTCTTTATATAACATTCAGGATATTACACATTCGTGACCAACGCGTGTTATTCCGGATAGCAACTCGTGCTCCTCTCGTGGCCATTTTTGCGACTGGGTTCCGTCGAACTCTTTGCGTATTATTTCCCCAATATATCATATATAGAGAGAATCTCACCCGAATGTCTTTTGATATCAAATATATCAACATGAGTTGATAAAAGTGGAAAAATTCCGAGGCTTTCCGAGGATTTTTGCCACTTTTATCAACGAGTGTTGATATATTTGATGTCAAAAGATACGAGGGTGAGATTTTATTTATCATCCAACATCATTCTTTCAACTTTTTCAATTTTTCCTGACAGTAATTAGCAGTGTCTTCAGTGTAAAAAGTACTGCTAACAGCTTCAGTAGCAGAGCCATTAGTGATGTCATTTGATTGTGACGTCATGGTAACCAGTGATGTCACAATGGTCTGCAAAGCATTGTGATGTAATTTCATTGCAGCGATATCTACAGTGTAGATATCGCTTGATCTCATCCAAGCGATATCTCCTGTGGGTGCCAGTTTTGGATGATAAATTGCAGATGTTATTTAAAACACATCGGGGCATACAGTATCATACAGTATCATTGAACACATTTAACTGTATCTTGGGTATATTGCAATACATATGTAAAATCAACATTTTGTCCGAAGTACTTGAAGTCATACGCGCATTGCATTCTGGTTGGTTTGTCGTATTTTCGCACATAACAATCATCGATAGGGGGACGAGTCTTCGGTTGCGGAAAGGGGCAAGTGGTGACAAATAGATATTACATAGTTGTGAAGCCGGTGAGTTCACTGGGAATGCGTCTGTCCGGATTGACGGTGGTCTACTGTACACAAATAACCATTAATTGTTTTACATGGCGGGGATAAATTTCATATGTAGTATATGTTTACATGGCGGCGATATATTTCATATGTAGTCTATTTTCCGTTCTTTCTAAACCCCAATATTCATTTTCAGATATGTATAAATATATGGGGTAGACGTATTCCCGCCATGTACGAATGATAACTACACAGACATGTGTATGGTGATTGATGTGTCGGTAATGTGAAGTGTAGCTGACTGTGCATATCGGTTTCATACAACAGTGCATCTGTGCTGAAGTGGGAGTTTAGATGATGTAGGTGGTGAGGTCGACCGAGTTTCGGTGGGTTGCAGTTGTGTTGGAGAATAATCAAAATAAGCACACACAATGTCTACACAACCAGAGAGATTGCGTGAGTTGGACTTTACACGCAATTTTAGCAATATTCCAGCAATATCAAGGCAGGCCCACCAAAAATGAGTAAATATGGTACATTGTATTTTTTATTACTATCGAGTGGGTTTGGTCGCTTGTGTTTACTCGCATTGTATCTATGGGGGGAATCAAGCCCGCGTCGCCAGTGGGACGATGTTTTCACCACAAGGCAACCCCACAGCCTCTTGCAAAGATTTAGATTTCTCTTAAAAGTTGTATCTGCAATAAGGTTTTGTTTTTAGGGGACAGTCATCTTCGTCAGCAGCAGGTGCTTCAGCGTCCCCGTCATCGAGCACGTCCATTCAACACGAAGCATCATCGTCAGGTGGACCAACTGTATCCCTTCCTTGCTCCAACTGTTTGACCAGAATAGTGGACATCCAACTCAGGCCATGTGGCCACAGGTTCTTGTGCAGAGCGTGTGTGGAGACCGTTAAGCAGTGCCCCTCCTGTAAACAGGACATCAAGGATGTGGAGGAGCTTCAGGGTGAGTGTTAACAGTCTCAGGGTGAGTCTTAACAGTCTCTGGGTGAGTGTTAACAGTCTCAGGGTGAGTCTCAACAGTCTCAGGGTGAGTCTCAACAGTCTCAGGGTGAGTGTTAACAGTCTCAGGGTGAGTGTTAACAGTCTCAGGGTGAGTGTTAACAGTCTCAGGGTGAGTGTTAACAGTATCAGGGTGAGTGTTATCAGTCTCAGGGTGAGTCTCAACAGTCTCAGGATGAGTCTCAACAGTCTCAGGGTGAGTGTTAACAGTCTCAGGGTAAGTGTTAACAGTCTCAGGGTGAGTCTTAACAGTCTCAGGGTGAGTCTCAACAGTCTCAGGATGAGTCTCAGCAGTCTCAGGGTGAGTGTTAACAGTCTCAGGGTAAGTCTTAACAGTCCCTGGGTGAGTCGTAACAGTCTCAGGGTGAGTTTTAACAGTCTACGAGTAAACATACCCCCAAACAAACAAGCAACTTGTTGGAATACATATCTTTCGTTTTTTAATAACTGGTTATCTTGTGAACTTCATGTCTATTTTGACCGCCTCCGTGGACTAGTGGCAGATCGTCCGCCCGGAGAGCGGAAGGTCCGGGGTTCGATCCCCGCCCGCGTCATACCTACAAACGTGAAAAGATGGTACTTGCTGTTGCCCTGTCTGGCGTTCGGCATTAAGGGGCTAAAACAAGGAGTGGTCGGCTTGGAGTCAGTATACTGTCTCTGAGTGGGGTATTCATGTTAAACTGCGGCATGGTATCACAGTGGGCTAGCACTATCAGTCCAGACTACAACAAGCAGCCACACACACACACACACACACACACACACACACACACACACACACGTGCATGCACGTCGCTATATAAGTGCAATAATCTCGGACGCGACGTTAAACCTCATTTCACCTCACCACCTCATGTCTATTTTGTTATCCAGGTTCAGGGCTTAAAGATCAGTCGTGTAAAGTACAGTGAACTGTAGACGGTGCCACACTACCGAACCAGACAGATTCATCCATGGAAGAACAGAAATGTACAAAACAATATTTTTGTGTCCTGTTAAGTTGTTCATGATTAATAGTGAGTTACTTTTAACGTTGAATGTTTTCCTGCCGCACACATCGGCTTTTTCACCAAATATTAAACACATAATAATAAAGGCCGCACAAACCATCGGCTACGTGCCCAGATCAACGACAGCCATGAGCATTCTGCAGTTATCGTTTGTCCCACGTTCATACAGATTTGACCCTCAAAGCCGAAGTCAGCTCTTCAATGTTTGTTAGTGTCTTTGTACGTATGTACCGTATTTCACCACCGTTGTAATATTAACGTATTTCGATGTCATGGGAGACAATTGGTCATTACGATCAGACTAAGTCTGAAACAGCATAAATTATATCCAGACTAACACTTGTGGCTGTATTCACTCGGGTACCTATGAAACGAGACGTCCATCGTTGGTGGTTGTTGTAGCATCCCATCAGTACTGTAATTATAACGATTAGCTTTTGTTTCATTTTGGCAGTGTCGTATTCTGAACAGTGTCCATACACATGCAGAATACTGAACGAGCTCCCGTGAATACCAATTGTATGAAACGAGTGTGTAGTTCTGGTATCTGTCAGATACCAGAACTATCTATTCACGAGTGTAACAGAATTATACTTCAAATATGTCAAAAGTTTATACTTATTAATTTCATGCCATACCACGGCCCACCTTCAGGGGTCTGATTCACAAAGGATATCTCAGCGCTAAGCTCAGTGATGTTGAAACTTTTCAATATTTGTTCGTGAAATTTGTTCCCACAGTACATATGCACGCGCTTTGATATTACACAATGTGTGATACAGCTGTATGTTTATTAAACGAGTGATTTCTTCACGGGCAAGTAATAAACTAATTTCTTTGAAAATGCATGTAAGTGTAACTACACGGTATAACCAATGATATGAGTGTACACAATAACTGTGTGAAACAAGGTTAAAGTCTATGCTTACATATAGATTGCTTACATATAGGTTATCTCAATATATCGGTTAAGACGAGGCAATTGTATATGACCCAAGCAGAATTCCTGTCGGCACCTAGGTCCAACATCGACAGTCTGCTTGTCTCGTACTCCGTTATCTCGAGAAGTCGTTTAAGACGATGCCTCTCCAAGCAGAATTTCTGTCGGCACCATGGTCCAACATCGACAGTCTGCTTGTCTCGTACTCCGTTATCTCGAGAAGTCGTTTAAGACGATGCCTATCCAAGCAGAATTCCTGTCAGCATCATGGTCCAACATCGACAGTCTGCTTGTCTCATACTCCGTTATCTCGAGAAGTCGTTTAAGACGATGCCTCTCCAAGCAGAATTTCTGTCGGCACCATGGTTCAACATCGACAGTCTGCTTGTCTCGTACTCCGTTATCTCGAGAAGTCGTTTAAGACGATGCCTCTCCAAGCAGAATTTCTGTCGGCACCATGGTCCAACATCGACAGTCTGCTTGTCTCTACCTGCTGATCACTCTATGTAATACTTTGGTCACAACTACTTCGACTATTTATGACATTGTATTTTGTACATTAGTTAGAGCCAATATCATCGTCATCAATGTTATTCTCATCTTTGTTTGTTAATAAAATGTATCAAATATGAACATACTTCAACTTGAGTATCTTACGAATTATGGGAAGATTGTTTTTACCTCATTTAGAAGTAAATGCCCATCAAAACATACACATGTACCCAGGCTATGAAAAGTGTTTGGTGGGGATAAAAATATCCGGTAGGCAGTATTAGTTAAATATGTCACCAACACTTTGTTAATCCAACAATAAACTTAATTTACCTGCCAATGGTACAACTGGAAATGACCAGATACTGCCCGTGTCGTCAATATCACATGGTATTAACTGAATACAGTGACAATTCATTCGAACTGCAACAGATAATTTTTTTTAAGGGAACCACATGTGCTAGGAGGAATTGTCAGTCCTTGCAATCTTGGTCTACCTCGTGAACGGTTCAACTGGTTACCTGCTTAATCAACCTTTGTGTATGATGCCTATGTTAATGATTGCCATAATTACACAGAGGCAATGGCTTTGTTTTTAAACATGACATTAACTACGTCTCAGCCTATACTAGAATTGGGCTTCAGGGCCCACTTGCACAAAGCGATATTAGCGCTGAGATGATCTTAACTCCCATACTTTAACATAGGCTTACGATAGTCTTAGATCGTTTTGTGCAAGTGGGCCCTGATCGTGGAGTACTGTCCCCTGTTAGAGCAGGATGTTGTGATGCCGATATAAAATTGAAGTAAAGGCCAACATCTATAAATATAATTTGTACTTACTGCTACATACTAGTATTCCTACTTGACCTTATTCAACATATGTCCATCAGAATCGTCCACGGGGAATAAAGTCATTGCCTCAAACGGAAGAACAGATAGTCATACTACAAATGATACGTCCTTTAAGCCACTTGCAAGCTTTAACTCCTGTATTAACTCGACTGTGTCTGTGTGGCACATTCGTATTAAAACTGCGGCACGGTATCTCAGTAGTACAAAACCGGCAATAGTCCGGACTAGTACGAGCAATCCCAGACCCGTGAAGTTCCGGGATAGAATAGGTCTTCAGCAACCCATGCTAGCCGTAAAAGGCGACAATGTTTGTCGTAATAAGGCTACCAACGGGATCGGGTGGTCAGGCTCGCTGACTTGGTTGATGCATGTCATCGTATCCCAATTGCGTGGATCGATGCTCATGATATCAATTACTGGGTTGTCTGGTCCAGACTCGATTATTTACAGACCGCCGTCATATAACTGGAATATTGCTGAGTGCGGCGTTAAGCAGCAAACCAAACAACCAACCACACGCACATACCCACATTCAAGTGCAACAATTGTGAACAGGACGGTAAACCCCATTTCATCTCACCTCACTTATTTAACTCGTGATAGCATCATGAATGTGATTGCAATAACCTGTTTTCCTTCGTAAAACGGGCACGCCCAGGATCTATTTTTAGAAAACACGGGTAGTTACCAGTCTCGTTACCAAATAAGGAACAGCCCGTCATGCAGGTTATGTCACGTGGAAGACGCGATGGAATGAATGCTGACGGATGGTGTTACACAAATGATTACTGGGTGTTCACGTGCGTAAAGCGATCTTAGCGTTACGACTATCCTATCTAACACACGTTAACGTAGATTTACAATAATCCGTGCCCTACAACCGCTTTATGAAAGCTGGTCCTATCGATGTAATTGATATTGATTGATTATTTGGGTTTTTTATCAGACGAAAGGTCAGCTCGGCCTTTTCACGTGTCTTAAATCAAGATTGTAAAAGAAGTGTGCCAGTATGTTCTGGCATTGTGTGAACAAGTCTGGCGAGGGGCCGCGACACGCCTGACGCTTGTGTTGGGTGCATAACTGATCCTATTCCCCAGGAAGGAAACTACATTTCCCCAGGAATACGTGTTAAGCAGAAACCTCGTCGCCCGGACGACAAAGCGCACTGACAGTCAACGGAAAACAAAGAAGACCTCGACTTGCATGTTAGGTCTTAAGGCAGTTCAGAATGTGAATGGTGAAGTGTTTATTTACAAAAAAGTTAATCTTATTATGAAATAACCATAGCAACCTTTAGGCATAAGCCTTTATGTAAACCAATTTCAAAACCATCCCTAATCTATTTACCTGGGGAAAAAACATAATATATTTTAAGCTCATTGACAAACTCTTGCGAAAAATACCTTTAAGACACAGGAGAATCCCTTGGGTAGTTCCGGTGGTATCATGCAGTCATTTTCCGTCCACAGTGTACGTGTAGTCGAAACGTATTTTGAAGGACAAGTTACGAACTGGAAACCGGCAGAGGCTGACATATTCAAGTTATATTTTAATCGCTATTCAGCATTTTTCTACCTATGGGGTCGACCCGTGAAGATCCGGGGTAGAATAGGTCTTAAGCAGCCCATGCTTGCCTTAAAAGGCGACAATGCTTGTCGTAAGAGGTGACTAACGGGATCGGGTGGTCAGGGTCGCTGACTTGGTTGATGCATGTCATCGGTCCCAATTGCGTGGATCAATGCTCATGATATTAATCACTGGATTGTCTGGTCCAGACTCGATTATTTACAGACCGCCGTCATAAAGCTGGAATATTGCTGTGTGCGGTGTTAAACAACCAACCAACCGACCAACCAACCCAATAAAACCATTGCTGGGTTCATATGAATTGGAACTACTTTCTTCATTCCTCTACAACAAAGGAGAGTGCCTCACCAAAAGATGCGATTCTTTCATCATTATTTGTAAATACGGCATCATATACTTTTTCAACAAGAGATATAAAGTGGATAAATATTTCTTCTTCATCAGTCGTCATTTAAATCTAAATGAACTTGAATAATTGACATCATTATGACTATCAAAGATTGAAAGAAGCGTACGTAAAGGTATCGCTAATGGAAAGTGTGGAGGCTCGGGCAACCATTCATGATATGAATATTTGAGGCGGAGCCTAGTTTATCAAACATTTATCAATGGTATTCTGGAAATCACATAAGTCCGGAATGTCGTCCTCCACAATCTGGCTCTGTCCAAGTTCTAGAATTATAACAACGAAGACGTTTTGTGACCACAGGGCGTTGTCTATCCGAGCTTCGTTGACCTACTCTGTGTGTCCGTTCACTGTCTCTTGGAACGAGTATATCTATAGTATTGTCCTCCCTGCCATTGTTCAACATTTCCAAAGTTCTATTTTTGCATATTCAGTAGGATTCGCTCGGTCACTATTGGATATCATATAATATGCAACATTGCAGACGTTTGACTTGTCTGTAGAATGAAATTGACCCGCCCTGAATGATCTAAACATTTTTTGCTTTCTTTTCGTATTCGTATCTTTGTCGGAAAATAGACATACGACAACGTCTCAGAAAAGCAAAGCGGCGCCCCTACCAGCAATAGAATGTCAATGACCAACAGTGTGAAACTTGTTGGATTTTGACATCCTCTTCTCAGCAAACTATCAGTACAGTTTTAGATGTACAGTGGATTCTCGCAAGTAGAAAGATTTTAAGTGGAAAACACTTCTTGTAGATGCAGATACCTTTCTTTGAACCTGGCACGCTCATTACATAATTATCATTATACTCCATCTCCTAAAAAGTAGAAATCTGTTAGTGGAAAAACAATTGTTATCTATATACATTTACTTGTTCCACAGAGACATGGTACACTGTTAATTTGACTTGATAATGGCCCTGTCACACTACAACGTTATAGAGTAACTTGCACCTAGCGTATAAAAAACAGTAAGTACTCTGTCATACGTCGAGCCTTCATAAAAAACATGATTTGGGCGCATCCACGAGTTCACCGTATATGTAACGCATGTCTAACGTATTAGTAGCTTATCACTGACTTAAACATAACTTATGACAGCGTATAAAAGCGTATTGCCAGCGTGTGTCTGGCGTGTTCAACGTATGGTCAGCGTATGCCCAGCGTATGAGTAACGTATGACTAGCGCGCTCAGCGTAGGGAAAGGTGCCTAAAACGGGCCCCGCGGTAGTATAACTTGTAGTGTACAGCCATTCATCAAACTACTTTATTCAAGCAGTAGTCTTCGCTCTGTCAACATCATCAAGGTTTCCTCACAAGAAGAAGATACCTGCCAGGGGCCGAGCAAGATCTGGTAAAGTGTCAATTGTAGAATGTCATGCTGATGTTGGAGAATGGTTTCTTCTTGGTGCAGCCTCTCAGGATCCTTCACCTCCATCTTCGATCATGTCTTCATCAACGTCTCAATCAGTGATGAGGAGGTACTGACCGTGACCCAAAATATACAGAAACCCCCCAAACGCTGGTACTACGGTGTAAATACGCTAGTTAAACGTTAGAAACACGTTTAATAAGTTATTTTGTCGTCAGACATACGTCTAATACGCCATATACTTTGGACGCATACGTTAGACATACGTTAGAAGTTACGCATACGTTATCAATACGTTAGCTGTACAGTACACCATCTGCCAACTTATGTCGACGTATATTAGCGTATAGGTAACGTATATCTGGCGTACGTGAACGTATGTAGAACGTACCTCTAACGTATGCCTAACGTATAATTCATACGTTCCCATACGCCGAAAATTTTGTGCATTCACAAAAATATTTTTAAGCCTCGGCGTACTACAACGTATACCAGCGTGCTTGTAACGTATACAACTTACACCTAACTTATCGCTAGCGTTTTTCAGCGTTGGCAAAAACTCTCATACGTCGACATACGTTACTGCTATACGTTGTAGTGTGACAACAATAAGTAGAATAGCAGACCGTGTGGTTGCAAACCAAATAATGACTAAGCCGTTACTACCCTGTTGAGTAATTAACAGACACATGGAAGTGCTAATCCTCTCCCGACACTATTATTGTCAGCACTGCTCTGAAGACGAAACGGGATCGGGAGTTCAGGCTCGCTGACTTGGTTGATGCACGTCATCGATCCCAATTACGTGGATCGATGATCATGATATTAATCACTGGATTGTCTGCTCCAGACTCGATTATTTACAGACCGTCGTCATATAGCTGTAATATTGCTGCGTGCGGCGTTAAACAACAAACAAACAAACCAATTTCCGAAGACGAGTTGTTTGCAGCATGCCAGCCGCTAGCCGCTTACAATCTTCATATTGAAACGTCTTTCCCTCGGGACCTGTGATTCTGTGACAGCTATTTGCTTATCCTAACGTCTATGATGTTGTTTACTCTGGACGTCCTCATGATCCAAAGCTTTCGGTTCCTGGGTAGATTATAATCTTATCTTAAGGTGCCTGTATTGGTATTCACTTTACACATTCGACCTCAATAAACTCTGTTATGTAACCTTGTCTTAATTGCTACTGACTTTAAAAAAAAAAAACCCAAGTATTTTAGTTGCTTTATTGTCCACATTTAGCACAGAAAACACCAAAGAACAGATGGTCTAATGTAAAGCAGTATTGGAGACGTGTTTCTAAGCAATAATGTATGGAACAACAAGAAAACCATCATTTTGAAGATGTACAAAAGCATTCATACCGCATTCACTGGTTCATCTTGTCATACTGATGCCTTCAATGACTATGGCGTAAAGTTACGATTCCATTACCCCTGTCAATTCTACTACATGAACACCCAAAGCAATTAACTTTCACAAATATGTGGCTTGTAAAATAAATGTTAAGTAGGTAAACTATTTCAGTATTTTAGAAGCTGTACTTTGTTTTAATAATGATTTTTGGATTCGCTCAGTGCATTGAAATACTATCAAATAGGAAATGAAAATGGTACCTCGTTTCCACTCCAGATACTGCATGTCAGCTGAATCCTCGAGGTCATCCTGAGTGTAAACTGCACCTGACAAGTAACACGTCTTGGAGGAGGCCTGGTAAAATACGGAGTGGCAAGTCGTGTTGAAGTAACACTTGGAGATGCATTCACTTCGTGATTCAACCATCAAGCCTTGTGGTGCGGAGGACAGGAAATAACCCTGTAGTGTCAATACAATCTGTAAACCTGTCAACATCTTTTACTGTTTCTGTGTAATGCCTTAGAATATATATGCATTCCTTTTTTGTTTTATAAAAATATGCCAATAAATCCTTTGTCCTTCGCCATATTACTGCAGGCTCCAATGTTTTAAGTTGTTCTCCAACTGAAAATTATTAAGTGTGTACAGTAATCGACTTAACATACTTCACAGGAAGTTTACACAGAAGAGACCTCCGGAATGGTCTATTCATATCACAGGAAGGCCTTTAAATGTCGATATTTGCATGTTTTAGTCAGATCCCGTTACTTAACACAACATCAACATGCAATACAGGCTTGATATAACGAATCTGTGAGTGACTTGTATATTGTTTGGGTTGGAGAGTGTGTATTGTGCAGTATGAGACAGGCCAATGTAGTGACTAGAGACTGAACATCCCAGAGTCAGGTTTCAGATCTATAGTGTACGACGGGCACAAGGGTGATCTGTTTACTTTTCCGTATGCACTTCTAATATTTCTAAGAAACATTTTTTACCTTTATTAAACCTTTCTTAGTGAGATGAAAATCAATGATAAAGAAATAGGCTAAGAGTGTATTTTGTATTGAATTGAATGTTTGACATTCTGTCCTCTTAAAGGTTAGATTATGGAAGCTTGAGATTCTCCAGTTATCAGTTATCGTTCACATAACGACTTCCACATTCCAGTGGAAACACCAGAAAATTCCCTAGCAGTTAACTACATAACTTGGTACTTTCCTAGTGTTTGACTGCATGCCCTGCACGTCAGCATTCAGTAGCAATATATGAATTGACTTCAGCACCTAATTGCTTGTTACTCATCATCTTTAAACTAATTTTCAAATCAATTTTGAATAACAGCAAATCTCCTGATCTTCATTGAGAATCTCCCTCGTCTCGTTGACCGACGCCATTTTGACGTTCTGAACTTGAAGTAAATGTATTACGACGTACTGCCACTGTGACTGACTTGCGTAGGTTGTTTAAAACAGGCCTTGCTTATCTAAAGAGGATATGATTCCAATGTGTGTTGTAACCAAACTACAAAGGAACTGTCATTAATCCTAAATGCGTTGACCGATGCTCATGAAGTCAATCACTTGATTGTCTGGTCCAGACTCGAATATTTACAAACCGCCTTCATATTGTTGGAATACTGCTGAGTGCGGCGTTAAACAACAAACAAACAAAAACAAAGTAACAGTCAGTTCTTACATTATTTCTGACAAATATATCTCAAGCTTAAAACAACTTCTGAATGCTTACCTCGAAATAATTTTCAAAGATATTAAATAGAAATAATCGTGACGGTTTTGAAATAGATTAAACGGTATGACTTTACACCTGCCAAGATAATAGTCATCCCCTTGGGATTCCGTTAGAATTGGTCCCGCTCAACCCATGTTGGCGGTAAACAGCGTATTAATGGATCGGTGAACAGGCTCGGCTTGATTGCGTGTTTGTGACGATTTCGTCAGTACCCGAAACCTGGACAGCTGGAAGAAACAGAGAGTCCTCTTCTTGCCACTTTACAAATGCCGGTTGTGCTAAGGGGAAAGTTCAGAGAACAGGACTGTCCAGTACGCTATAAGTCTCGGTGTATTAACTACACTCTTCTCCATTGCTTCAAGTCCCAGAGCTCAACATGGTCCTCTAGAAATTCTTGTTATGCAAGTGTATCGGGTACAGGATAAATGTAATCATATCTAAGGGTTCCGTTTGTGGGGTGTTAATGCACTCAAGCATTTTCAGCTTCTTGGAATAAACACCGTTGTGATAACACTACAAGGAGACTTCAGTGTAACTTACCAAGGTGAAACAAGACGATGAGGATTTCAATATCTTTATTTACTACACTGACATGTAGTATGGATTTATGACGCCAGAGAAAAGTCAGATTAAAAACTACTTTGTTCAAGAAAATATGAAAAAAAGTAATTGATGTATAATATAAAAATCTGTTTGCTCAATAAATAGCTGAGATGTGTAAGCAAGCGAGTGGATAACATATGAATTATTATGACATTATTATAAACAGCTGTGTTCTGTTGCAATGCATGTTGGAGTTCTGATATTCTTTGCAATGTTATTGATATTCCAGAAGAGCAGACATGAGAGTGAGTGAGTATGGCTTTTAGCAATATTCCAGCAATACAACAGTGGGGGGCATCAGAAATACAGACATGAGACTTATATATATTAACACACCATAAAAACTATTACTCGGGACACATGTTCCCGTCTCTATATCATACAATCAGCAGCAGGTTGGCGCCACTGGTAGCTGACAAATATAACCATGCTGTTTGGTACAGCTGTGATCACGCCATTTGTTCACAGGTTCACCAGACCAGGGGGACACCACGAGGCAGTCATTGCTGTTTTCGCCTGTAAGAGGCCGATCAGTGCCTGTATCCCACCATTCGGTTTGAAATGTGGAGTTGTCTGTCCACACCCATGTTCCCTCTTCTTGCATGTCAGTGCCACCAAGCCAGAGAGATCTACCTAGAATTACACAATAGCATTGAACATTTCAGACTTAAACGTCATTACTATTTTTTGTAGCAAATAAATATATTACCTAATCAGTCACACATGTTATTTGGTCAGAAGTGGTAAGGCCATGTTTGAATATCAGAAGAATTGCCCATGGGGATGGAAGTTATTATCAAGCTGTTGAAAGTACACTCAAGAAAAGTAGTCGTCTCATCACCTCTCTTTCATGAATAACCCCAAACGAGTAACCCGTCTCCAGTTGTTTTTATGAGAAATTGTGTGTGAACTGATGATATCACTTTGGGACGCATACGCCAACATCATGTCATACACATGTCCGGTCTAATTATCTCACTGGCACGTTTGAGCCTCTTCTACAACTACATACTTAACCTATTTAGGCCATCGACATCAGATGGCGGGAATTGTAATTTCAAACGTCAATATTTCAATAGTATCTACCCACGTTGTAGAATATACTTGTTACCATTAACAGTCGCTCTACTTGAACTCTCACAGTTGTGAGATAGGTGTGACGTCACTGGGGGCAATGACCTAATGCTGGAATGCTATGACTTCGTGATATAGTGTACATACAGCATATATACAGGGTCATATATACTGAACAACAAATGTTCCCGTGATATTGAATAAGATTTAATGCAAAGTTATGTTTTTTACCAAATCTGAAACAATTTCGGTTTGCAACAGATAAAAGACTCCTGTAAGTGTTCAAATGGTTTCATTTGCCATACTGACTTCATAAAAAAACATGAACATGCCAAAATGTTAATTTACAAATCAATAGCGTGTGTCCACCTCTGGATGCGATGCAAGCAACACATCTTCGTCTCATGGAATGGACCAGGCGTCGCACAAAGTCCTGTGGGATATCTGTCCATATCTGCTGGTGCATGTTTCGAAGTTCCTGGAGTGTCTGTGGAACAAGTGGTTGACGTCGAAGGCGCCGATCAATCTCATCCCACATGTGCTCGATTGATGAGAGATCAGAGGAGCGAGCCGGCCAGGGGATGACATTCACGTTGTTTTGTTGAAGAGAATCCTGAACAAGTCGAGGCCGGGCGTTGTCATGTTGAAAGGTAATGCCTGGGCCATGACGACGCAAAAACGGTGGAACAACAGGGCCGATTATCTAGTCGCGGTAGCGCTGTCCATTGAGATTTCCCTCTACCACTATCAAACGGATCCTCTTTCTTGCTGTAATTCCACCCCATACCATAACGCTGCCGCCCCCGAACCGATCTTCTTCCATGATACAATGATTGACGTAACATTCACCTCGACGTCGGTACATTCGAATCCGCTCATCGCTGTGGCTGAGGTGAAAACGAGACTCGTCAGTGAATAGAACTTGTCCCAACTGCATGACCGTCCAGCGTCTGCACCACTGTAGACGTTGCCTGACGGTGGTTTCCTGTCAAAATGGGACGTCTGGTGGGTCTTCTGGCAACAATCCCTGCACATCTGAGGCGACGACGTACGGTTTGTGAAGATATTCGTCGGAAGTCCAGGGATGCTTCTTGCAGTCACTGTTGCTGGCTGGAATCGATTTCGTAGATGTGTTGTTCGAATCCAGTTGTCTTGTCGATTATTGGTTATATGTGGCCTGCCACTCCGAGGATGGTCTCTGACTGCATTCGTCTGTTGCAAACGTTGCCATAAACACCAAATGTTTTTTTCTGTGGACGTTAAATTGTCTTGCAACATCACGTTGACTCGATCCTGCTTCAAGCATACCAATGGCTCGCAGACGCTCATATTCGGACAGGCGTGGCATTTCGTAATGTTGAATAATTGCGTAATTTTGTTGTTTTTCTGAGTGGTTGTTGTCAGCACGATGCTAAACAATGCATATGGAATCCCGTTAACGCACTTGTTTTTATACCCATTCCTGGGTAGTGAAATGCATGGGGCTTGCATCAAAGTCAACTTTTGCATGGAATGCATGCTTTTCTGTAGCAGTTGCGTTTTTGTGACTTGATTCCATACATGTACTATAATATTGAAAACCAAACTTAACTTGTTTGAAAAATACACTAAAATATTGGTGTCACAGGAACGTTTGTTGTTGAGTATATTTCCATGGTAACTGAATGTAGAAAAAACTATTCTCTGTTTTCTTTTCTTTCTTCCTATAAATATGAACCAAACCTGATATCAGCGTCATGTGGATTCCATCCCAAAGACGGTAATTTCACGCGTTTTCTTAATTTGAGATTGAGAAAAGATTTCGTCATGAAAAATCCGAAAGATTTCCGGTATCCAGTCATATGAAATTTTGTAACCAATCAGTATGCTGCACACATTCCTTTTCGCTTCACGACTGGTGGTAGTAATGGAGTGTTTATTGGCACTTGGTAACATCACATCCCAGAATGCCCATGATGCAGCTGGGATACTACTATAAATATAAATATAAATATATACTTACTGTGACTTACGGCAATGTGATTCATTAATAGAGTTGTTTCGAGGTTGTCAACTTTGAGAAGATGTGCGCCATTTTGGATACAGAAGTTTGTTGCACCCATCCATGATTTGGATCTTCTTGTGTAGGCTTTGTAGCACAGATCGAGAGTCCGATTCCAGCTGTATCCATTGTCACAGCCATCTGAACACAGAGGCATATAGCAAGGTCGTATTTCTTAAACAATGATACACCCTAGAACATTGAAACAATGAGAAAGTGGAAAATCTGGAGTGGAGTGAAATCTCACCCTCGTATATTATTATAGCAGATGTATCAACAAATATATCACTTAAAGTTTAAATCTCCGAGGCTTGCCAGTAATTATGACCAGAGTCTTCATGAATTTCAGTGTAAAAATTAAAGCTAACCAGCTTCATTGGCAGATGTATTAGTAATGTCATTTGATTGTGACGTCATGGTATGCACATGCTATAAGTTACTGATTTGCCCAGTTCAGATACAATTATATTGATGCCGCTGGTGAGTAGCTGAAATAGTGTTGACCGCTGCGCTAGATAAGTTTTGTCGACTCACTCACTCACTCGCATAGGTGAGGTGAAATAGGGTTTAACGTCGCGTTCAATATTATTGCACTTATTTAGCGACGTGCATGCACGTGTGTGTGGATGCTTGTACTAGTGCCTGTATGAATACCCCACTCAGACACAGTATACTGACTCCGAGCCGACCAATCCTTGTTTTAGCCCCTTAAGCACCAGGAAGTGTAACAACAATTACAATTTTTTAATGTCTTCTGGTATGACGCGGCCGGGGATCGAACACCGGAACTCCCCCTCTTCGGGCGGACGCTCTACCACTAGACTACGGAGGCGGTCTCACACATACTGAGAATTAGTTAACCCGCTTAACTACCCGCTTATAATATTAAAGTAATGTAGCTGAACTAAGTAAATCTATACCAATTCGCTAATTCACTTACACACTCACTGGTAGTATCCATATTTTCAAAAGAAAATAAATACCAGTACTGTGTTGACTACAGAGGGATTGACAAAATCTTCCTTACAGTACTATTCACTCACCTCAGTGTGGAATAGTACTGACGACATTAATCGCTGCTCCGGCCCACATTGGATTATTTACATAGCTATTTTGATATAGTTTGTAATACTTAATTTGGTAAAATTCTTTCAAAAGGGAAATGAAATTTCACAAATATGTGGCTTGTAAAATTAATGTTAAGTAGATAAAATATTTCAATATTTTAGAGGGGGCACGGGTGGCCCTGTCGTCTAAGGCGACGCGATTCGCTGTTCAGAGTTGCGTCCCTTGGGCACGCCAGAAACCTATGATTTTGGGTTCGAATCCCGGTTCGCCCCGATTATGTTTCTAGGTTTGTCAGCACCATACTCGTGCTCGTGGGTTTCACCGAAGTGGTAAACGTCTGAGACCTGCATCACTTGGGGCTTTCCTCCCACATTATGCTGACACGCCGCGATATAACTGGAATACTGTTAAAAGCGGCGTTAAACCCACTCACTCACTCAATATTTTAGAAGCTGTACTTTGTTTTAATAATGATTTTTGGATTCGCTCAGTGCATTAAAATACTATCAAATAGGAAATGAAAATGGTACCTCGTTTCCACTCCAGATACTGCATGTCCGCTGAAGCGTCGAGGTCATCCTGAGTGTAAACTGCATCTGACAAGTAACACGTCTTGGAGGAGGCCTGGTAAAATACGGTGTGGCAAGTTGTGTTGAAGTAACACTTGGAGATGCATTCACTTCGTGATTCAACCATCAAGCCTTGTGGTGCGGAGGACAGGAAATAACCATGTAGTGTCAACACAATCTGTAAACCTGTCAACATCATTGATGACTCCAAGAGTACTGTGCCTGTGTAGAACCTTCGTTTAAATGTTTTAACAAATGTTACTCCGTGTCATATAACATGACACTACATCTGACAACCGTGTTGAAAGCTGCTCTCTAAATGAACTTAATGAGGTATTGTTCCCGTGTATATATATGCACCCAGTATTAGTTGTGTGTTTTAAATATATGCAAATATATTCTTTGTCCCTCGTGATATTACTACAGGCCCCATGGTTTAAAGTTGATATCAACTGAAACTAATTATGTATGCACGGCAATCTTCTTAACAGACCGTCACAGGAAGTTTACACTGAAGAGACACCGGAATGGGTCCATTAATATCACAGGAAAAGCTTTAAAAGTCGGTATTTGCAGGTGGATAGATGGGTATGTTTACGCATCCGTACGCACGGCTAATGTTTCAGAAGAAAATATTCGATCTTATTTTCCTTTCTCATTGACATGAAAATCGTTCAAAAGGAAATATGCTAAAACGATTTTTTTAAGTTGAATATTTGACATTCTGTCATTTTAATGGTTAGATTACAGAAGCTTGCAATCCAGTCATGGGTTTATCCTTCATATTCGGCATGGCTCAGCATTAAGTGTACTCATTCTATCATTCAAGATTCTATCCATGTTAACTTCTAGAAAGTTCCTTTATGTCGCGTACATTATTATAGGGCTCACAGAAAGAGTTAGTATTCTTTCATAATAAACACCATATGGCAATCTGCAAAACTGACAGATGATTGATCGCTTCAAATAGCCATTGTTGTGACACAGTATCCTTTACAAATGTTTTGCTGTTTCTTTTTCAAATTTTCTAAATTTTCTAAATATTTCTAGATAGAAAGAGTAATTGACTACAGTGGATGCAATAAGAAATCCCCCACCCCCAGCCACACACCCGACCCCACCCCCACACCCTGATTATGTTTCTAGGTTTGTCATCACCATACCCGTGCTCGTGGGTTTCACCGAAGTGGTAAACGTCTGAGACGCGGCGTTAGACCCAACTCACTCATCCACTCACTCACGATTCGGAGCTTTCGATTTTTACAAAAGATAATCCAAACAGAGCACAAATATTTTACCGTTGTTCGTGTATTTAAAACATGGGAGACGAATCGTCCAAGAGTGCAAATGGATGCATTTAGCAAGATATTCTTCTTCATTTTATAGTTTACAAATTTTCAGTTGCAGTTATTTTTATACAAAGCAGGATGAAATAGTGCCGAATGTGTTGGTTAGAGGAAACTGTCTTGCAAGTTCCGCCCAAGCAACTTTCACTCGCGACATTTGGTCTGATGTGATTCAAAGGTCGATTCACATGCCCAGGCCTTTCCCGTTCCTAAATAATGTTCTAACAAATCCCTGTCTCAAAGGTCGATTCACATGCCCAGGCCTTTCCCGTTCCTAAATAATGTTCTAACAAATCCCTGTCTCAAAGGTTCACCATAATCCTGTATACAATCGAAGGACTGAAATTTTAATTCAGTCATCGAGTGTACGCCTACTTTCAGTATTATGACTGTGCAACATTTAGTTTTATTTCGAGAGCAGCTTTCAGTTAGATGTAATACTAGTAATGTGTTTTATTACACGGAAAAACATTATTCTTCAAGCATTTAATAAATGAGGTTCCGAGGTTTTACACAGAAACAGTACTCTTGGCATCATTAACGATGCTTACAAGTTTTATACAGATTGTGTTGACATTCCAGGGTTATTTTCTGTCCTCCGGACTCATCACTCATCACAGGATGGCATGTTGTCACTTTCCGTGACGTCAGTAGTACGGAAAGTGATAACTAGCCATCATGTAATGAATGTGGTATTGTCTTTGAAAATAGCCATGACGTCATGTACAAACGAGTCCTGAAAACGGCGATGGACCTTCAAGAAAGCGAACTTAACTTCCATGTCAGAATGAGGAGATCTGTCCACGTGATCTTGATAAAATACTGTGTATCCCATCGTGGTAGGGAATGAATTTCTCAGCGGGGGTATAAATCTCTTATACCCCGCCACCAGGATGACAGGCTGTACGTGGATTTCTGGGAGGCAGTATAAATCCCTTAAGCCGCACGCTTTTTCTGAGTCAATGGAAGTCACTTGACAAAACGCAAGTTAACCTCAGCTCAATCGAACAGCTGTTTTCTGTCAATTTTGAATGTATTTGAATTCTTTGACTATGTCATATTAAAACATGTCGGTAAGATAAATTCGTTGTAGCAGGGTCATTCGGGGTACATGGGGTTTTATGCGCCCCTCATTACCATTCTCTCTGGCCAGTAAATGATGAGGAAAGTATTGCAACTTGTGTAACAATTGTGTTTCTCTTACATTTTCAAACGCTAATATTCCAAACAAATACGGAATTCTATTTCTCAAATCTGTTTTGAAGAATATTTACAATTTGAACACCTATTTTAATGTAAGAAACTATGGTCTTAAAAACATTATGTAAAGTATGTACAATTTGTATTCAAAATGTAAAATCTTCCATACCGCAAAAATAACGAACACGCAATGCCATGGCTTGCGATAGGCAACGTCTTCGAGCCTTGGGTATGCTGCAAACAGGAATGACACAAAACGCCAGGCAATTCAGAGTTCATCAAAACACAATATCAACTCTTTGAAAACGTTATCTACAGCAGGGCAATAATCATGCCTTGTCACGGGCCGGTCGTCCACGTGTGACGTCACGTCAAAAAGACAACCATATTTGGTTGGTTCATTTAAAGAATCGATACCAAACTGCCACATTAACAGCTCAGAAAATTTCTTGGTTGAGACCTAAAAGTGGCAGAACTATTCGCAACTGGTTCAATGGCACAACTTCCGGCATCGACGTCCAGCGATACGGCCAATTCATGCTTCAACGTCACCGTCGGGCAAGCCTACCTTGGTATAGACAGCATCTGAGGTTCAGAAAGATGAGTCCAGGTTTCACCTGGACAACTCTGATGGTCCTGCAAGGGTCTACAGGCGTCCAGGGGAACGTTTTAACGATGCTTGCGTTACTCAACGTCATCAGTTTGGGGATGGAAGTGTAATGGTGTGGGGAGGCATCACGACTCATGAGAGAACACAATTCAACATTGTCTATGGCAATTTGAATGACGTACGCTACAGGGACGACATCGTTGGAGATCACGTTCTACCCTTTGTGCAAATTCAGGGATGTATGTCACGTTGCATGAGGATAATGCCCGCCCACGGATTGCACGTGTTGTAAAAGATTTGTATTGGCAGTGTTGTACTGCCATAGCCGGCTGTTTCTCCAGACCTCTTCCCCTGCAACCTATGTTGGTTGCAGCAGCGACTAAATGATTCGGTGGACAGGCTCGGTTGATTGCGTTTTTCTGACGCGTCAGCCGTATGGTACGGCTAGACCGATTCTTGACATTGTACAAATAGATTTAGTATTGACGGGAAAGTTCAGATAACACTACTGCCCAGTACATTAGAAGTGTCTGTGTAATAACTACACTCTTTGAAGTTGCCATGGCTTCTTGATGGATTCAAGTTCCAGAGCTCTAGAAATTCCTGTTATCAAGTGTATCGTGTTCAGGAGAGGTGTGATTTATATCTAAGGATCCCTGTAATGGGGTAGCTCAACCATATTCAACTTCTTGGAATAAACACGGTTGCGATAATACCACAAGGTAACTTTTAATGTAACTTACCAAATTGAAACAAGACCATTAGGATTTCAAAATCTTTATTGTCTACTCTGACGCTTTTCCGCTTTTCTTTATATTCCAGCAATATCACTGGGGGGGGGGGGGGGGGGGGGGGGGGGGGGCACACGAAATACAATTATGAGACTTATACACACTAATACACTATACTCGGTGCGCTTTTTCCCGTATATACAATCAGCAGCAGGTTGGCGCCACTGGTAGCTGACAAACATAACCATGCTGTTTGGTACAGCTGTGATCACGCCATTTGTTCACAGGTTCATCAGACCAGGGGTACACCACGAGGCAGTCATTGCTGTTTTCGCCTGTATGAGGTCGATCAGTGTCTGTATCCCACCATTCGGTTTGAAATGTGGAGTTGTCTGTCCACACCCATGTTCCCTCTTCTTGGATGTCAGTGCCACCAAGCCAGAGAGATCTACCTAGAATTACACAATAGCATTGAACATTTCAGACTTAAACGTCATTACTATTTTTTGTAGCAAATAAATATATTACCTAATCAGTCACACATGTTATTTGGTCAGAAGTGGTAAGGCCATACTTGAATATCAGAAGAATTGCCCATGGGGATGGAATTTATTATCAAGCTGTTGAAAGTACACTCAAGAAAAGTAGTCGTCTCATCACCTCTCTTTCATGAGTGACCCAAACGAGTAACCCGTGTCTAGTTATTTTTATGAGAAATTGTGTGTGAACTGATGATATTACTTTGGGACGCATACGCCAACATCATGTCATACACATGTCCGGTCTAATGATCTGGCACGTTTGAGCCACGTCTACAACTACATACTTAACCTATTTAGGCAATGGACATTAGATGGCGGGAAATTTAATTTCAAACGTCAATATCTCAATAGTATCTACCCACGTTGTAGAATATACTTGTTACCATTAACAGTCGCTCTACTTGAACTCTCACAGTTGTGAGAAAGGTATGACGTCACTCTGGGAGCAATGACCTAATGCTGGAATGCTATGACTTCGTGATATAGTGTACATACAGTATATATACATGGTCATATTTACTGAACAACAAAAGTTCCTATGACATTGAATAAGATTTATTGGAAAGTTATGTTTTTTACTAAATCTGAAACAATTTCGGTTTGCAACAGATCAAAGACTCCTGTAAGTGTTCAAATGGTTTAATTTGCCATACTGACTTCAGAAAATTCGTGATTTCATAACACACATGAACATGCCAAAATGTTAATTTACAATTCAATAGCGTGTGTGTCCACCTCTGGTTGCGATGCAAGCAACACATCAGGCGTCGC